AAAAAGAGAGTAGGACTTTTGTCGAAAATTGGACTTGATCCACCCGAAAGCCCTTCGCATTGATCGCCAGATTTGCGGGCGTCGCGGCCCTCTCGAAACCGCCCTAGATCAGATCGGGGCAACAGATTGGCCCCCGACACCCTCCGATGGACACCGCCAAACCCATTGAGGTCAGCCGTTTGACAAATTGGTGTGATCTGGAAAATGCAACGGGCCCAAAGGGCATACGAGGCAATAAATGACGATTTATACGGACTAGGCAACCTCAAAATGCATGAAAAGTTGCTTACGGATAGAGGGCAACGATGGTGGTTCCTTTACAGGGTGGGCAAAAAAAAAAGATCCGAGTTTGGGTCAAAATATCTCGCTTATCTTTGAGAATCGAAGGTGCGTTACCATGCCAGAATGCTTAAATATGCTGGGTATGAAGATTTAACACAACTTGATTTTTTCGATTTTTGGCGACGTATCAATACAAATTACACCCGGAAAATGTGCGTTCCGCAAAACTTCATTTGCATTTTTCTCAGTTTCCTGTGGTGGCTGGGTTCTAATTTTTCCTATTTAAGTTAATGTCGGTAGTAGATATGCACCTACAAAATTTAAGAAATTTTGAGGGTCTGGTTGACAAGTTATAGAGGAATGAAATTTTGTATGGGGAAATTTCGTAAATTTCGAAAATTACAAAAACCTATGGCCAAAACATCAGAATAAGTTGTTGTAGAATAATTACGGACCATATACAACCGCATAAACACACTCAAAAAATTTTCGAGATCGATGAATTTTCGAGTTTTTCAACGACCCCCGGGTCATGGATTTTTCGAGGTCTCGAAACCCGACTTTGGAAAAATATTTCTAAATTGCCAAAGGGGACTCAGCTAATTTTTTTGGCTTAGCTATGTAGGACTGGGGTTTATCAACTAGCTCCAAAATTTCGAGCTACCGTACCCCTTGGGAAGGGCGTCTTTTAGGGCCTCCAAGACAGTTGGTTGGTGCTTTTTTCCAAAACTCGCTAACAATTTATAAATTTTAACAGCGCTATGAAAATTGTCATTTTAATTTTATCTGATATTATTTGAATAGCGCATCCTAAAGCCACGTTCTTGAATTTATTTGACCAGTCGTTGGCGAAAAGAAAATTCATCAAAACCCGAAATAAACCGAATTGGAGATTGCGTTAAAAAATTTTGGAAGGTGGGGTCGTAGGGATATTTTGAGCAATAAGTCAGTGCCATCAGTTGAATAAAACTATGCAAAGACTAAAACAATTTCGCGTCGAAAAACTTTTAAGAAGAATTTTAAACTTCGATTTTAGAACATGGTGATTTTCCATTTTTGGATGAAAGTCACCATAATTTTGAATCAGATTGCTCCGGAATTTGACAGGCGTAAATAATAAGCCTAAAACTATAATTGTATCCAAAAGACTTAGGTCGTTTTTTTATTTTTAAAAAGTCGACAATTGACCCGGCTCCTCGGACCCAAAATCGGCTCTCTGGCCTTGTTTTGCACTATGCGTCGTAACTTTGTTATTTACCACCGAAAATCAGTAATTTTTGACAGGCTATCTTACAATCACCTCTAGAAGGTCCTCGAATTGAAAAATCGTCAATTTATGGAATTTTGCGATGGCATGCTAAAACGCGCTCCACGGGGGTTACTGTAGAAAACAGAAATTCGCGATTTTCGTGGTGTTTTTGCCATGGAATCGCTTCGATCTTTCGGTAAAAGCAATAGTAACAGTTTTTGGTACAACTGACCAAAAAATTTACAAGATTCTATGGCAGAATTAAAAAATCAGTTTTTAGACTTTTTCATGAAAGTTTGTGGATAGTACGCTCTCGTATTTGGCAGCAATGTGCCACTACTTATTGCCTAACAACCCAAAAAATTTCAGCCGGATCGAAGCTAGGGTCCCGAGAAAAGCGGTGAAAACGAAACCTACAGTACCCCACTGGGGCACGTTTTAGCAAGCAATACAAAAATACCATAGATTATGGTGGAATATGGTGTGGGATCCGATATTAGTATTTGGATAGGCTACTGGCAAAAAATCAGCCATGGGCAGTGAGTTAGAAGTGAGTTATGACTCAAAGAGTAAAAATAACGAAAAATCGCGAAAATTGTTTTGTTTTTAGAAAATGGAATAGGCCTCGAAAAATTCTAAGATTTAGCCATTACATTTCTACAAATTTATACTATTTTTAGGCCAAAAATCAGAATTTTCCTACCACCCGTTCAAGAACGCACAATTTTCGGTCGTAACCAGCGTCAATAGTACAGTTGCGTACCCAAAAATCGAAAAAATCAAGTTGTGTTAAATCTTCATACCCAGCATATTTAAGCATTCTGGCATGGTAACGCACCTTCGATTCTCTACCGTTCGCGAGATATTTTGACCCAAACTCGGATCTTTTTTTTTTTGCCCACCCTGTACAAATTTATTGTAATTTACAAAACCATTTAACGATGATTTTGTAAAGTGTAAACGTTGCATGGTTTTGGTATTGATATAATAATGGTTATGCAGGGGGTCCCAATAAAAAATGATGTGTCCCGATCGTAAAATGCTGCGCGCGACAAGGCCCCAAAACTAGGACAAAAAACTAAAAATATTTTAAAACATTTGAAATTCCAAAACGGCAAGTGGTGCCCAGAGGACGCGCTAAGAGTGCAATAAACTGATTAAATGTACACTTTACTGACATCTGCATACGAATTAGCATACCGGAGGCAGAATAGCTGGCGTACAGGTTCTTTTGGGTAAAGGTGTCATTTCCCGTCAGCTTTCTTCCCGGGTGCCGTCTCCCTTCCGTCCGTCAGCTCGGTCAAGCTTTCGCCTTCTCGTCTGCGTCAGAAGCTACAACCACCGTCGCCTCAAGTCATCCGGAAACTCTACCAAAGATTGAAGGTAACCTCTGCTTTTGTATAGAACGAATTAGAATAGCTCCACCGCATTAAAAAAGTCTTCTGAAAAAAATGCAATTCGCGAAAAGCAAAAAATTTCGCAGCGGGCGGGGGTCGAACCAGGGATGGTCCGATCCCCAGCCCAAGATGCTAGCCACTACACCACGCTGCGAAATTGGCGGGCGCAGCGAAAGGCCCCCACAAAGCCTTGAGACTGTCTTTTTTGTGTTTCATGCGTTGGCCCGGGCAATTAGTAAAGTTCGGGGTGGGGAGGTGGGGAGGTGGGAGGTGGGGAGGTGGGGAGGTGGGGAGGTGGGGAGGTGGGGAGGTCTCGGGGAGGTCTCGGGGAGGTGGTTTTTGAAAATAACCGTTTTTGGCGCGTTTCGTACCAATTAATGTTCGTAATCGATTTATAAATGTTTATTGGTGTTTTCTGAACATTATTAGAGGGTTTTGGTAAAATATTTTTTTTTATTAGGTTAGATTAAGGAAAAAGGGAAATCCTTGTAAAGAGCTGGGAAATTGAAGAAAATACATCGATTTCACGCTGTTTCTTTACAATATATTTTAAAATTATAATGATGTGTTGCATGACAGGTTTGTAATGCCTAAGGAATAACATCTAGCCTTTATAAGTTACCTAGTAAGAAAATAACTTATAATCTTCTATTTTGCGTGTTTTCACTCGTTTATCTTCGTCTTCATAATAATTCCTTCTTCCGGTTGCTTCTATCCTTCTTCTCTCTGATAACTAGATTAATTATATTAACTTTACTTACCTTCTGCTAAATTAAAAGCTCCGCAGGCTTTTAATTACTTATTTTTACTAGTTTACAGGCTTTACTATATGTTAGTTGTGTTAAAGGACTGGACGTTTTTAAACGAAGCCTCTTGCAACGATCAGTTAAGCCTAAGCCTGGGCTTAGCTTCACATAAACGAATTGTAAGGCTAGTTGCGCCAAGCTAAGTCTTTTTAACCATTCTTTTTTTTCTATAAGTCAAAAACAAGTTTGGATGAGCAAAAAAACTATAAATAAAAGTGAGACGAACCAAGGCAACGCATTTTAATCGTTGCTTTGATACTAAAATCAGTCCTAAAGCTAAAGAATCTTGAAATAATGTGTAACTAATCTATAGTATCAAACACACGTTAACAATTTTAGATGGATCAAAGGGTTTTAGTTTTTTGGTTATATGTATCTAAAGCTAGAGAGCCTGTAAACCATTGCAAATAAAGAATTCAGAAGAACGAGAGTAAAAGAAGGAAGAATCGAGAAAGCCTGTGGAGCTTCAAATTTAATTAAAGGTAGATAAAGTAGTATTAATAGTAAATAAAGCCAATGAATGTAAGAAAACAGATCCACGAAGGGCAAGAAGGAAGAGCGAATCATTAGGAACATAGAAATAAACTATTGAAAACAAATAAAAGATATAATTAATAGTTATTTTCTTACTAGCTAACCTATAGGAAAAAGTTATATAGCTATAGAAGTTATGTGCAAGCGCTGTATAGTAGCAAAAACCTTGCAAAAGTTATAATAATTATAATTGTATAGAATATTGTAAAGAAACAGGGTGAAATCGATGTATTTTCTTCAATTTCCCAGCTCTTTACAAGGATTTCCCTTTTTCCTTAATCTAACCTAATAATAAAAAAATATTTTACCAAAACCCTCTAATAATGTTCAGAAAACACCAATAAACATTTATAAATCGATTACGAATATTAATTGGTACGAAACGCGCCAAAAAACGGTTATTTTCAAAACCACCTCCCCGAGGACCTCCCGAGACCTCCCCACCTCCCCACCTCCCCACCTCCCCACCTCCCCACCTCCCACCTCCCCACCTCCCCACCTCCCACCTCCCCACCTCCCCACCTCGAACTTTACTAATTGCCGTTGGCCCGCGTCGGAATTGCGTTTTGCATAAAAATTACGAATTCTGAATATGAGTTACCTCGATAGTAAGTAGCTTCTCACAGTCCGATTTATTTGAGTTTTTGCAGCACCGAGATGCACCAGCGCCACAAATCAACCGGCTACGCACCTCGGAACGTCTTCAATGGGGTCTCAGGCGGCCGGCGTCTGATGCTCGTCTCCGCACTGTTGATCTCTTCAATTGTCGCCACGCCGATCGGGTACAGTCATTTCTTTTTGAGCTTTTGAGTCTGCTTTGCTGTTGAAAATTTGCACACCCATTTTCCAGGAGCGCTACCGACTCGCAACTCGTTGGCATCGACCGTCAACGCAGGGATGGTGACACAAAGGTGATAATTGCTGTATTCCCGCCTCGACTTATCCTTCCAGTGCCCCAACGATCGCCCGTTTGTATGCTACGTCTATGAGGCACTTGGCCAAGACTACCCGGCATGGCTCAAGAAAGTTGGGGATGGCAGTGATGAGGACGACATGAAGGTAATGAAATGAACCTCCTTGCAAAACGATATATATCCTATCCGGTGCTAATCCAGTTAGCGGGGGGGGGGGCAATCCGAAATTGGTAGTACTAAGAGTAAGCCTCGCTTAAGCTGTTTGGTTTTTAGCTTAAGCTTAGTCTTAAATTAGCTTAAACTAGGCCTAACTTCGGTTTAGGCTTAAGCTTGATCCCAAGCTAAGCTCATATTAAGCTTTAAGTTGCTTCAGAAGGTGAAAATAGGGTCATTTAGGGCTTGGCTTAGAGGCAAGCTTAGCTTGGCTTAAGCTAAGCTCAGGCTTTGTTTGTATGAAGCTAAGCCTCAACGGTCATTGAATTCAAGTTGCCGGACTTTTAGTGCGCCGCGTGCTCGGTGGAGAAGCTCAAAGAATGCCTGACCACGGCCAGCTTCACCGCTAACAACGCTGCGGGTGAGAGGACGAGCACCAAAAAAATGTCGTCCAAAATTCTGCGTACGTTTTATTGGTTTTTTGGTGTAGAGCCTGTCTAGAAGCCTGATGCGACCGAAGCAGCCGATTGTATCGCGCCCGTCAAAATCAATGACAACAAGGGTCGGTGGATCGGATCGTCCAGCTAAAAACTGTGTTTCCAGAGGCGCTGTACTTCCCCTTCAACCTATGCACACGGGAGATGTTGGCCTCGGGGCTATGCGAGGGGAAGAGTTTGTGGGTCATCGTTGGCTACAAGTTGGATGATTTCAACTTTTAGGCACATCGAAGCATATATGCCAAAATCAATCCCGCACACGACGCAATACTTCCTCCAATGCGATGCTGGATTTGTCATCCCGCAGTGGGTGTCTGGGCATCCGATGAACCTACTTATAGGAAAAGTTCATATGTTCTTTGTTTAGAAAAGTGGTTGCTGCTGCTGCTGCGGACAGAAAACTCAGGGAGACGTGCATTCCAAGTCTTCAACTGGCAGCCGGATATCTGCAGACGGATAAAACACCACTCGAGAACAACCCCTACGACGTCTTCGATCCACTGCAGCCCAAGGTAGAAAGTCAAGCACGACTAAAAGTCTATTAATATTTAGTATTGTCCGAAGGGCGGTCGTCAAGCGGGTGAAAAGTGCGATCCGATGCATCTCTGCATGCCCAACCCACAATCCATGTTTGTTTTCACCAGCTATAGAATTTTGTCTAGAAAGTTCTTTCCTGGAGAAGGGAGCGTGACCAAAATGTCAACAGAATGTGACGAGCAGTGCGTGTTCCCGCGCTCTGATGGAAAATATCCCCCGGAAGCCTGTGTCCTCTTGGATATCAGCGATCCGAAGGGCACCCCACCATACTACGCGCTTCGTCGGGCACTGGTAAATCACTATATTTCGTTTCTCTCTCACAATCTCTCTCAATCTCTCTCGCTCTCTCTCACTCTCTCTCTCTTCTCGCTGACTTTCTGAATTTTAGTCGGGACCGTACGCCTCGTTGAAGAGCGAGGAAGAGACGATCGACCTCTGGCAAAGTCTAAAAGTTCCTGAAACCCCTGCCGAGCAGGTTCTACTTTTCCTGAGGCTGGAGACCATTGTTTATAGACATCCGTCGACAAGGAGAAGGCAGAAGCACAACACGAAGATCGTGTCAAACGACAGAGTTCCGCACTTCCAGCCGTCTCCTATCCACGCTGCATCAAGATCGACGGACTCCCGGTATACACACTATCGTCTAGATTTTTGAGATTTCGAACATTTTCCCTACATTTCGGACCAAAAAGTTTCGTTTAACGAGACTGTTATTGCTATATAATGCATTTTTCATAGTTTTTAAACATAAAAACACCATGAAAACAAAAAAATGGCCAAAAAGAGGTCAACATTTTCCGATTTTCACAATTTTCTAAAACATTCGGTCTTAAGGTTTTTAAAAAAAAAAAAAACACAAAAAAAAAACTTTATAAAAAAAAAAAAAAAAAAATAAATAAATAAAAAAATACAGAAAAGAAAAAAAAAAAAAATGCTACCCAGAAAAAAAACAAAAAAACTCACCCCCCGCTAATGAACCAATACCCTTTTCCAGGCGGATCAGAAGGCCATCGTGCAAGCCGACGAACTGCTCGATTGCGACAAGAACCCGTTCTACAAGGAACTGGGCCACGAATCGCTGACCGTCACCAAGTTGCCCCTTTGCACCGAGGTCGATCCGAATCAGGTATTCGGCAATTTTCTCAGGGAAATACTGACCTCTCATTTTCAGAAATTCTGCCGAACCTCCGCGGACAGCCAGTCAACAAAACCCACCGCAACAACCCCGGTTGCAGAAGGGTTTCTCGACCGGCTTACTGTTCCGGAACCCTGGGCATTGGTCAGCTTCGTCCTCGCCTGCAGCGTCAACGCGTTGACGATCATCGCAACAGCCGTCGCCTGGTATATTCGATTCGGACGGCCGGAAAAGGACGACGATGATGATGATGATGATGAGGAGATGGATTCGCATTCTCGCAAGCACGACTCGTCAAAGTACGCCTTTTTTTCTCCTCACAAATCTACACTCTCTAACTTCTTTTATAAAATGACCCTTCTATTAAAATTGAAAGTTTTTTTGTAAGCCTCAAGCAATTTACTAGGCCAAAAAATTTTATTGAAACGTTGAAAAGATTGTGGGCTGTCCGCTTTTGATCAAAATCGGGTTCTGGACTGTTAGCAAGTGGGGGGGGAATCTTCCCGAGTAATTCCTTATAGCCTTACAGCGTAACATTAACTATTTTTGTTCGAATTTTACATAGTTATTAGATAAAAAACATTAGAAAAAATGATAAAAATTTTCGAAAATTTCTGGCTTTTTTGTCAAAAATGTTTGAAAATGCCCAGAAAAGTCAAAATTTCGATGGTTCAAAAATTTTCAAAATGTGTTGAGCATTTTCTAGCAATTTGAGACTACTAAAAAACGTTTAAAAAAAACTAATTAGTAGCGCAGCAGGCAAAACTTGTGATGAAAAACCATAAGTTGCACCTCCTCACTTTGAGAACTTTTCTAAAGCTGTATTTTGTAGGAAGAAGACGGGCGACGGCGACGACGCGTGAGCATGAGAGAAGACGCAACCGCGAGCCGCGCCTCCAGCCATAACACCAGCCCGAGGCGCGCCGCCCTATTGCATAGAGAAAATCTGCTGGTCATGGTGATTGGCTCCAACGCTTTTTTCAAAGCGAATCTGTGATTTGTACACCGTGGAATAAAGGGTTTCCGCAAATATTGTTGTTTGGATAAACACGTCTATACACTTCAATTGTTTTTGACATATTTACAGACAAGCACTTGGTATTTTCATGTTGGCAAAATCTATTTTCCGCATTTATTTTTGCAGTAACTTAAAATCTACTGTACCGATCGGCTTGAAAGGAAGCATTAGGCATTTTAAATATCTTTTTGCATCTCTGCTCAAAATTTTTGTGGCTTTCCAAAGGAAAGGGGTTCTAAAAACCAAGGTTCAGTCGAAGCAAACTTTTATTTTGAACGATTTAGCAAACAAGCTTTGCAAAATCTGAGTTTATTTGTCGTGGGTGTTGTCCATCACGGTGATTGCGACATCATAGTTTTCAGTTCCCCTATGCGCTTTCCCATCAGCGCCATGCACCAGGTGGACAGTCACCATGATCGTCAATCCTGAATTTCAAGTTTGGGGCGCAGCACTACAGCGTGTCCTAGAAAACCCGTCGGCATTTGGCCATCTTCTTTCGGATCGAGACCAAAGCTCAGGCCCGTACGAGGGGGGGGGCAGGGGGGGCAGCCTGCCCCCCCCCCCGAAATTCTCGGGGGGCCGAAAAGTACATAAGGTAGTACCCTTATGTTTTTTTTCATCAATTTTTGCTGCCCCCATGGAGGGGGCAGGTAATCTAGAAGTTTGAATTTTCCCGCATTTTTTTGGCACTAATGTTAGGGTGGCAGATGGGGTTGGGTGTTGTTAGGAGATTATTTTGGCACCATTAATGGGCTAATATTTGGAGGAAAGGCCCAAAATAGGCAATAATGATACGGCGGTAACTCCATGGAGAAGTAACGGATCGGGATGATCTATATAGCGATAGAAAGCCCAGAGCAGGGAGAATACAGGGCAATGTAAAGCAGAAAACCCGTATTGCTAGAGCACTTTATTCCGGTTACTAACGGTAACTTAGCGCGGCAAAGCGCTTGCCTGTTCACGGCACCCTCGACAACAATAAAGTGTGAGGAGAAATAGACCTCCCCCCAAAATCGACCGAGCCCGGAAAGCGCATAAGGCCCTTTAGATTTTTTTCACAAAAAATTTCGAAAAAAACTGTGCCAAGCCTTGTTCGGGTGGCTCGCAAACGGCCTTTTAAACGCTATTTATTTTTATAATATAGACAGTTTTTTTCAAAAAATTTTCTGCCTGCGGCGCCTTTTTCCTCGCTCTTTAACACCATTTTTTTATCCTATAGGCACCGTTTTTCAAAAATTTCAGCCTGCGGCGCTGTTTTTCAGTAACTTTATCGCAATTTTCGCTAAGTTTGCTGCCTGGGGCGCTCTCAGGCCGCCCCAGGCGAGCCGCCCCCGCCCCGCAATCGCCCGAAGGCCGAAAAGTTCATAAGGTCTTTTTCCTTATGATCTTTTTCCGGAAAATTTTTCTGCCTGCGGCGCTTTTTATAGCTGTTCGCAAGTCGGTTTTTAGTGTTAGAAACACCATTTTTCGAAAATTTTTGCCTGCGGCGCTTATTTTTTTCATTCATTGAATCGCAATTTCGGTTCAAAAGTGCATTTTTTGCCGCGATTTGGCTCAATCCCAGGGTTTTTCTTTACCAATTTTGCAAAAAATTCGCCTGCGGCGCTGTTTTTAGAGTTTTTACACCGTTTCTCCGCCATTTTACAAAAGCGTCGACCGGGGGGAGGTCGTCAAAAATTTTTTTCGGTCCTGCCCCCGAAATTTCGGCCCAGGTACGGCCCTGCCAAAGCTTTACCAGCGATGGGAACCCATAAAAACTATTTGCAGCCAAATTTGTGCGTAAAATATCGAAAAACAAAAATTTTATGCAAAAATTAAGGTTTATTCTGCCAATCTCACTGGGATTTTGTCCGTTGTCGATCTCGAACTATTCAGCAAAAATGATTTTTTTTCATCAGTTGTTATTATCAAATCGGCGGAACCCGACGCAAGGAGGACCATCGGCATCTTATTCAAAATCAGCATGCTAATTGCGAAAACATTAACAACAAACAAAAAACGGGCTACAACATTTGCAAAAAAAAAAAATAAGTTTTTAGGTCTAACTTTTTCTTTCAGAATATTTTGCTTAGAAAATTTGGCTGCGGGTGGTTTCTATGGATTCCATCGTTGGTGAAAATTTGGTCCCGACCCGATCAAAGACGCCAAATGCCGAGGGGGGAGTTTGGGACACCCTGTATCTCCAAGAAGGGTTGTATGTTATATATAGTTAAATAGTGTGACGCTGCGGTTCGATTTTAACGGCTTTGAAGAATGGAGATTTTAAATTCCTGCTGCCCAGCGAATTTTACGACCTACCTGCACTGCACCCGGCCTCGCGATAGAAGTTGCTCGAGAATACGGGCCCGAGTTTCTGGAAAGATGATTTGATTTACTGCTGTAATAAAATCGTAAGCTATTAAATTCATAATTAAAAGGTTCAAGATGATCAAAGTCGATGAGGATTACAGAAATAGCGTGAGAATTTAAAATTCAAGCGTTTTGACGCTGAAAAACGCAAAAGATCATGCGGCGCGGTCGCGCCGCAGTCGAATCTGGCGATTTGCCAGAATCAACGCTAGGCGCTTGGACCAGATTTCAGAGCCCCTTTGACGGGGGGATGAATTGTTTTTTTTTCAGTAATTTTGTGACTTTTTGACAGACCATTACAAGGTTTTTAGATATAAAGAGTGCATAAAATATGGTAAAAATGAAAATGGATTTCCCCATTGAACTGGAAGAACCGGGTTGTAAATAAACGCTCACTTCTTTTTTCAAAAGTCGCCTATCTCGCTCGACACTGATCGGTTTCTTGCTCACTGGCACATATCTCCGGAACGCTTCTTGAACCTTGGCCATCGCATCGTTGTCTTCCGGCCATTCCATTTCCACAAAGCCAGGTGCGTGCCTTGCCACCTTCTTCTAAACCCAGGGTTATCACCGTTTGCTCATATTTTCAGCGTATTCAGACCCAAACATGGAATCTTGTAAAGTGACCAGAGCTCTCCCCTATTGGGATCATTGGTCCGCCTTTTCTTTGCCCCTCCCCCTCCCCAGGAGAGAAGAGGTCTTTCCCCCTGCCCGGTCACATCCACCCCCGTGATGTAGTGGATTAGCGCCCGGTCTGGCACGCGCAGTGTGGTTAGTTCGGATTTTGGGAGGATTTGATTTTTTGCTTTTTGGTAGTTCAGCAGCAAGATATATTTCTAGGCACTTGGTGTGCGAGCTTGAGGCCTGGCTCCCGTTCTAGCGCAGCAGGCTAAAGAAAAGGTCCTTGGCCCGAGCTCTAGCGCCGCAGGACAGATCCTGGAGAAAAACCAGTAACTAGCGCCGCAGGCTTAAAGGGATATCGACGGCATATGTCGATCACCCCTGATCGACTTTTTGGCACATAGCCAACAGGGCAGAGAACGTGCGCAAGGGCGAGACGCAGAGACATTTTCTTTCCCTCGCGTCACCGATTACTTATACCGTCGTTATCCCTTTAAAGATTCTAGCGCAATGCTGGCTCTGGCGCGGCAGGCCAAAGAATGGCTCCTTGGCTCAGGTTCTTGCGCCGCAGGCGAAAAAAGGAAGGTATTCAAATTCATGGTTCCTGGACGGGTCCAGCGGGAAAGGGCCGCGAAGCGGTCTTTTTTTACTGGTTGTTGGATAAATATATCAATGACCAAGCGCTATAGAGAATTACTTCGCTTACAAAAAACTCTTACTTGTATCTTCTTGGCGAAGTTCTCGGGACCCTTGGTGCTAGAATCGTATCCCACAAACGTATACAAGAAGCCTGTGCGACGCTCTTCATTCGGACATTGCAACACTCTCTGCAAGCATCTCTTTATAGTCAACCGTATCAACAACACGCATCTGGCAAATAAAATTGAGCCCATTAACCAATTAATGGAAGCTGATTTCCTGCTTACAGCCAAAGAATCGAATGCCTCTTCGAGTTGCTGCATCCATACTATGGCCTTCCCCGGCCATTTTTCACATTCTATCTGGCAATTCGATAGCAGCTGTTCGTTCTAAAATTGGGTTAGCCCTGAAAGACTCCTTCAACTCACCGCAGGATCAAACATGAAGAAGTCCGTTGGTAGAGCGAACTGAACCGAGTATTATCGTGGTTCATGGTTTGTTCCAAGTTATTTTAATCCCGTTATGGCACTGCTTTATGTTTCCTATTTACGCCTAGTTAGCTAACGGGCTCTGAGGCATCCCAAAAATTATCGCCTTGTTGTGTACAGTGTACAAGTTCACATTTGTTGCAAAGTATTACCTCGTCGAGATAACAGCAATCTGGTTTTCCACCGAGCAAACTTCTGATTCTCGGGAACAGATGGTTTGAGGGCACGACGTAATCGCACGAACCGACGTTCGTGATTCGACGGAGGACCGGCTTCATCTAAAGGACGTATTAATTGACACTGTATGCAGGGTGCCCCAATAAAAAAAACACCCCCTTCTAACACGTCGCTGATGTATCGGATCGGAACACGATAGTTATACCATTTGAAAGCGCTTGAAACGACGAGTTCGTGGCAATCTTCAAAAAACCATGTTTTATTGAAACCCGCTATCTTAGAAGCTATTTCGTAAAATTTTCTGACTTTGCGCGGTTGCATACGATCCGATCCAGTTAGAGGGGGGTGTTTTTTATTGGGACGCCCTGTACGAAAATGAAATCTTGCCCCAATTTTAGTTTGAAGTCGTCGTACCTTAATCGGGGCTGTAGTTTTTTCCCTCTTTCGCAGACCCGTCCTGCAAGTCACGTACTAAAAATCAGTCTTGCAGATTTCTACGGAACTATTAGGTTGTAAAGAAATTTTTTGCGGTTTTTGCTGTGAGGTTTTTTTCGAGAGCATCTTTGCCGTGGGAGTTCATTGTAATACGTCATTTTGAAGCGCGTAGAAACCTAATAATACTAGAGTTCGATTTAGCTCATCAGACACTATATAACATACTGTAAATGTTTTTCTTCAAAATTTATTCAAGGGAGTTCCAGGTTATCGAATTTTGGTCAAATATTGGCCGTTTTCGACGACCAAATGGAAGTTTCAATTGCATAAGCCAGCGATGCGGGCCAGGAGGTTTTATCTGGCTTTCATATAAATTATGTGCTGATTTCCAATGCATTTCCAACAAATTGGAACTCAGAATATTAATTTTAATTAATTGCGAAAAAGTTGCCTTGCCGTGAGGGTTCAAAATTCGATGAGTTGTCACTTCCTTGAATGAATTTTCAAGAAAAACTTTTCCAATACGTTCTGTAGTGTTCGATGAACTTAATAAAAGCATTTTACGACAAAGACACTATAAGCAGTTTGTAGAGCATTCAAAGCTCTTCAAAATGACATATTACAATAAGCTCCCAGAGCAACGAGGTTTTCGAAAAAAACCTCAAAACAAAAACCGCAAGAAATTTCTTTACAACATAATATCTCTGAATTCTTAGCCCAACGGCAATCAGTCAATGTTTATAATCCGCGTGGTGACCAACCTGGAGAAGACGCTGTTTTTTTAGGCCGAGCCGTTTCCTGAATCGGCTCCTCATCGCATGCTGAAACGGAAGTGGCGGTCAAAAGTTTATAAAATTGTTTGTTTTGTCCAAAACCCGAAACTCGCTGACGAATTTTGATAACCAACCTGTTTTGTGTTTCTTTCCTGAGGAAACGGCAACGTTTTAAAGGGATCTTGCCCGCATCTTGGACGATAATAATTCTCGATGTCTAGCGACAAATAACGGACGGTACGGAGGTTCTTTAGCAGCCGCAAAAGACGGTGGAAGCAGCGTCGATGTCGAATCGGATACTCCCTGTTGATGGCGAACATTAGGGGGTTAATGAATTAAGCTGACTTGTGTTCCGTTTTTAAAAAGCGGTATTTCCGTTGATGATCCTCATCATCGTCGCTCATTTCTGCATCGCCTGACACCCTGAAATGGTAGAAGCTAGACGAAGCCATTGGCCCGGAATGAACTGGACTTGAAGACTAACTGGGAGGAGATGATTTTTAGTCAAAGCCTTCTCAAAACTATCTTCTATTTCAAAACGTAAATCTCAAAATTCTTCTAATTGGACCAAATTTTGCAAAGCTTGCCGTCCCAGTCCTTTTCGTCCTCGATGCCAACCCGACAAAAACAAACTTTTCTCACAAGCTTTGTGATACGGGTCAGTGATATGGCTCATTCGAAAAAACAGATCCTTCTACCCCAGAATTAGGTCTAAGTGGGGTAAAGTCACCACCCCGGAAAAGTCACTACCCCGAAAGTCACTACCCCGAAAAGTCACTGCCCCGAAAACTCATTACCCCGAAAAGTCACTACCTCGAAATAATTTGCATGATTTTCATAGGAAATCCGCATGAAAACTGGATTTTTCCGGGAACAACAATGCTATCATTTTTTGGGGGTAAACGATTTCGGGGTAGTGACTTTTCGGGGTAATGACTTTTCGGGGTAGTGATTTTTCGGGGTAGTGACCGGACGCCGGTCTAGTCCTCCAAAAAAATTTTTACCGGATTTTTAGAGGACCGGAATCAGCAAAAGGCTGGGTCCCAAATCGAATTTTCAGCATATGTGAAAACACTTTGCAGTGCGAGGGCGGCCGGCTTTTAATAATAATAATTTATTCAACACTAAGGTTTCAATGAGAAACGCTTAAAAGTGAGGGAATATGGGAGGAAAAACGAGAAAGAGGAAAAAAATTGGAATAGCAAGAAAGAAAAAAGTCAATAATGATGAGGAAAGGGGCATGGTTATATAAAGGTTAAGATAGTACATAATCCATTGGAATGAGTTTGGCTATAGATTTACGAAAACTTTCACATGTTGAAGCAGAGACGATTGAGGGGGGGAGGGAATTCCAGGTTGAGCAGGTTCTTGAGCTAAAAAAGGCTTTGTGGTAGGATTTTTTAGACGATATTAGAGGTCGTAGTTTGTAGGGGAGGCCACGAGTGGAAGAAGCATTGGTACTAAAGAATGTGCTAGTAGAAACATTAGAAGAGTATTTATGGAGTTTATAAAGGAAGGAATAGTCAGCAATTGTGTTCCTATAGTTCAGCGGTTGGAGATTGAATTGTTCTAGTGCCGAACGATAAGACTTGTAATCAACCCTACATCGATAGCAAACCTTTCTAAGAAAATCCTTAAGTATATGTTCGATTGCAATGCGATCTTTTTTTTAAAAAGGGAGAGGTTACAGGTGAGGCATACTCAATTATAGGTCGAGCATAGACATTGAACGCTTTTGTATAAAGACTAGGAAGTCGACTACGGAAAATTTTAAAAAGAAGAAAGCAAACTCGCGCGGCCTTCTTCGTGACATGGAGAACATGTGGTGACAGGCTGAAATCATTGGACAGTAGAACACCTAAATCACGTATTTGTGTAGCCTGAGGCAATATCTGGCCATTAATAGAATAGCAAATTTTAGGATTACGCTTCCCATAGTGCATAGACGCACATTTAGGGATAGCAATGAATAGCTGATTGTCAGCAACCCATTTCTCCAATTTATGGAGCTGTTCGGGCAAAGTAGAGGGCATGGTCCGACCAAAGTGGCTGATTAATTTTAGATCGTCCGCAAAGAGTAGCCCATCGGGCAGATTTTGCTCATCATTTAGGTCGTTAATGAAAATAACGAATAGTAAGGGACCAAGTACGCTGCCTTGGGGGACTCCGGAGATAACTGGGGCTGGATTAGATAGACAATCGCTGACCCGGACCATTTGTTGCGCTCTAATAGCCAGGATCGAATCCAATTCAGAAGTGGTCCTTCAATCCCATAGCTAGCAAGTTTAGAAAGCAATCTGTTGTGATTAACGGTGTCAAAGGCTTTACAAAAATCGACGTATATAACGTCTGAAAAGAGACCCGAATCTTCAGCCAGCAATAGACTTTGAATGTGGCTCAATAGCCTCTCGATCTCACTGATTCTCTGATCAATTCCTACCTTATATAATTTTGGCGTGTATCTTTGTGTGTGTGTGTGTGTGTGTGTGTGTGTGTGTGTGTGTGTGTGTGTGTGTGTGTGTGTGTGTGTGTGTGTGTGTGTGTGTGTGTGTGTGTGTGTGTGTGTGTGTGTGTGTGTGTGTGTGTGTGTGTGTGTGTGTGTGTGTGTGTGTGTGTGTGTGTGTGTGTGTGTGTGTGTGTGTGTGTGTGTGTGTGTGTGTGTGTGTGTGTGTGTGTGTGTGTGTGTGTGTGTGTGTGTGTGTGTGTGTGTGTGTGTGTGTGTGTGTGTGTGTGTGTGTGTGTGTGTGTGTGTGTGTGTGTGTGTGTGTGTGTGTGTGTGTGTGTGTGTGTGTGTGTGTGTGTGTGTGTGTGTGTGTGTGTGTGTGTGTGTGTGTGTGTGTGTGTGTGTGTGTGTGTGTGTGTGTGTGTGTGTGTGTGTGTGTGTGTGTGTGTGTGTGTGTGTGTGTGTGTGTGTGTGTGTGTGTGTGTGTGTGTGTGTGTGTGTGTGTGTGTGTGTGTGTGTGTGTGTGTGTGTGTGTGTGTGTGTGTGTGTGTGTGTGTGTGTGTGTGTGTGTGTGTGTGTGTGTGTGTGTGTGTGTGTGTGTGTGTGTGTGTGTGTGTGTGTGTGTGTGTGTGTGTGTGTGTGTGTGTGTGTGTGTGTGTGTGTGTGTGTGTGTGTGTGTGTGTGTGTGTGTGTGTGTGTGTGTGTGTGTGTGTGTGTGTGTGTGTGTGTGTGTGTGTGTGTGTGTGTGTGTGTGTGTGTGTGTGTGTGTGTGTGTGTGTGTGTGTGTGTGTGTGTGTGTGTGTGTGTGTGTGTGTGTGTGTGTGTGTGTGTGTGTGTGTGTGTGTGTGTGTGTGTGTGTGTGTGTGTGTGTGTGTGTGTGTGTGTGTGTGTGTGTGTGTGTGTGTGTGTGTGTGTGTGTGTGTGTGTGTGTGTGTGTGTGTGTGTGTGTGTGTGTGTGTGTGTGTGTGTGTGTGTGTGTGTGTGTGTGTGTGTGTGTGTGTGTGTGTGTGTGTGTGTGTGTGTGTGTGTGTGTGTGTGTGTGTGTGTGTGTGTGTGTGTGTGTGTGTGTGTGTGTGTGTGTGTGTGGATGTCAGTTTGGAGACCCGATTTGAGGGCCTTCCCGTGTCCAAAACGCCCCAATTCTCCGTCACTTGGGGGAATCGACCCTTCTGTTTCCGATGGCGTTGTCAGAATTTTGATAAAATACAAGTTTACAAAGTTAAAGCCGGTTTTATTCATTTTTGGGGGTCCCTGAGGGCGAATTTGCATAATGCGAAAAAATACAAATTTCCTCATTCTTGCCAGTTGCACTCGCGTGTGTGGCCGGTGGGGGGAAGGGGTCCGAAGGACCCGAGCTATCGGGAAGTCAAATTTATCATGCAAAGGCCGCATTCCAGCGCCCAAGGCCCGCGAAGCGGGTTTTGTGCGCTGGTTTCATAATTAAAACCTCTAGAATGATCAAAGGTCGATGAGGATCCCAGAAATAGCGTCAGAATTTTGAAATTCAAGCGCTTTCACGTCCAAACAGGGGCAAAAGAAAATGTCTTCTTTTTTCTCACAAAAATGTCGCCTTCTCCGGAACGAAATAGCCTTCCTTAGGGAGTATCGCGTCAATATTTGACTTCGATCCCCGACAACACGGAATTTTGACCTCTTCACCTAAACCTACCTGCGCAACACCCGGGCTCGCGGTAAAAGCAGCTCGAGAATTCGGGGCCAAGCTTCTGGAAATGATTCGATTTACTGCTGTGATAAGAGCGTAGGTTCTTCGCGTTTTCGCGGGCTGGGGGATTTTTTCTCCGTAACTCCGTACATCCGGAAATATAAACCATTTTACCAACTTTTTTCATAGTTTTTCGAAATAAAACGTTAATACAGGTGTCCAAAAAATTGATCCCCTCTAGGGCGCCGCAGAAGTGTTCGATTTTGACGATTTAGGTATCAATTTTAGTTCACGAATTTTAGGACCAAAATCCACGAAATCTGCAGATTTTATGCAAAATCAGCACGTTAGTTGATTGCTAAAGCTAACAGCGCGACACTGTTTTGAAGCTTTTTTCTAAGAAATTGTTTAATATCTAGCGCAGTCTAGAAAAATTTGTGAAACAAAAAGCACTTGTTTTCTCGCCTTTCTGAGAGCTTTCGAACGGTGTAAAATCGTCCCGATCGATCCTTGCTCCAGCCCGCTACAGGGGTCGATTTTTGGGGCACACTGTACAACGTATAAATTCAAAATTGGTTCCCACCCCCGTTCACAGGAAGAACCGACATGCAAATAAGATGCTTACTGGGATTTTGGACCGTTCAAGGCTAAACGGTTCGTCGCTCACTGGCACATATTTCCGGAAAGCTTCTCGGATTTTCGCCATCGCATCGTTGTCATGCGGCCACTCCATTTGCATAAAACCGGGTGCGTGTTGCGCCACCGTTCTCTGAATCCAGCGTCATCGTTGTTTAAGCAGCCGCGTATGTACAGGGTGTGCCAATGAAACACCCTCCGTTAACTCGACGAAGAAGTATCGGATCGGAATGATGGTTACACCACTCGAAAGCCCTTAAAACGGCCAGTTTGCAGCCAACTTCAAAACGATATGTTTCTTGAAATGTTCTCTTTTACAAACAATTTTGTAAAATTCTACGGCTTTTCGGGGTTGCACACGAGCTAATTTGCCTCAATCTCTTCAAGCAAAATGACCGGAAGTAGCCGTTAATTAAATCAGAGGCCGTTGCTTGATTTTTTAAATACGTTGTAAAATGCCGGCTTCAAATAAAAACGTAGTTTTAAAGCTGGCTGCAAACTGACCGTTTCAAGGGCTTTCGAATGGTGTCACCATCATTCCAATCCGATACTTCTGCGTCGAGTTAGAGGGGTGTGTTTTTTGTTGGGAAACCCTCTCTGCGTTGACAAGCTGTGGAGATCTGCTCTCCCCAATTCACGAAACTCCCAAATTTTTTGCTCATTTTCCGGAATTTTAAAGGCAAAAATTGCGCGTTATCCTCCAAAACTCCATTCTCAACGTAATGTGCGACCCAATGATCCCGGGAGGGAGGCCTTCTCCGCACTTTAAAAAAATTCCATTTTTTTGTATGAACCCGTACAAAATTTGTAAAGATAATGAATGCGCGTGATACCCATTATCGAATACATACGTGGTCCAAATTACAGACCGAAATTCCATCAGGGCTTCGAGGGATGGCCCGTACATCACGGCTCGTAGCCTAGTTTGCTAAGGAGTTTTTCACCTTTTTTGCTTTTAAAATTGTTAAAGGAAGGAATTTGGCAAAACGGTAAAAATGCATTTTGGCGAATGTCTTTCTCCACCTGCATGCCAAAAATCAGCTCGAAATTCGGGCTGACGGCCGACAAATATATAGCAACGACCAGGCGCTATAAACCTCTTGCCGGCAAGCACATGTCAAGCCATTTTTCTCGCTCCTACTTGTATTTTCTTGGAGAATTTCTCGAGGTCTTTGGTGCCATAATCGAGTCCCACAACCGTATACAGGAAGCCCGGCCGACGCTTGTCCTTCGGGCATTGCAACAGTCTCTGCAAGCATTTCCCTAGTCGATTTGTAAAATAAGATTGAGCTTATTAACGAATTATTGAAATACAGCTTTCTGCTTACCGTCAAGGCTTCGAATGCCTCTTCAATTTTCTGCCTCCATACCATGGCTTTCCCCGGCCATTTTGCGTATTCTTCCTGGCAACTGGATCGCAGTTCTTGGTTCTGAAATGGGTTGGCTATGAAAAACGCCTTTAACTCACCGTAGGATCAAGCGAGTGGAGGTCGATTTGTAGGTACATCTGAAGCGATTATTATCGTCGTTCACGGTTTATTCCAGATTTTTTTGGGGCACCCTGTATTGTTTTCAAAACGCCTTTTTCTCGCCCTAATCCGTTTCTTTGTAAAGTCTTACATCGGCGATATCACAGCAATCTGGTTGTCCACCAAGCATACTTCTGATTTTTGGGAATAGATTTTCATCCTTCGCAGACACCGCATAGTAGCACAAACCGACATTGGTGATTCGACGAAAGACTGGCTTTAGCTAAAAGTATTAGCGTGCCAGCCGCGTAAATTGCGTATTCTACGAGTTAGCGGAAGTCCAGATGATTGCAGCGGCAAAGGATTTTGTGGTTCTTGGCCTGAACCGTTTGGGGAGCAGGGTCGTGGGCCATAAAAATCAAGGAGAGTCCAGGTGCAGGTCAAAGAAGTTTTTGGAAAACTTACGCAAGAGTATTTTAGGGAGCTATCTTTGCATAGAGCAATTTGCATGCGATACCTTTAAGACCAATCGATAGCTCTCGAGGAGTAGATATCGATAGATGTTGAGATCATCAAAATTGGACACCGGATGGCCGAGAAATAGCCCCTTGAAATTTGGCCTATTTCTTAGAACTTTTACCACAGCCCAATACATTCAGATCCATTTGACCGTCAGAGTCGGCGGAGTCGATTTTTATTTTCGGACCCGCCAAGGGGATTTTGGCAAAATGTATGGGATTTTGGAATTCTAAGCAATGGGTCAAATTTTAAGACAGCATATCTCGGCCATGCGGTGTCCAATTTTGGTGATCTCAATATCTATCGATATCTGCTCCTAGAGAGTTTTCGATTGGAGTTAACGATATTGTATGCAAACAACTCTATGCAGAGATAATTCGCTAAAACACTTTGCGTAGTTTTTCCAAAACTTCTATGGCCTGGATGTTGGTTCTCCTTGACTTTGGAGGGCCAGGACCCACCTACCGTAACGTTTCAGGCTCAAGGTTCAAAATGACATATCGCATGTGCAGAATGGAGCTATCTACGATTTTAGCCAGTTTAACGGTTTCATCGTCATAATTTTTGGGCCGCCTTACCTTAATCGGGGCTGTAGCTTTTTGCCTCTTTTGCAGACGCGTCCTCCAAGTCACATACTGAAAACAAATTGCATAGTTCTGCGAAACTAGGATTTTGTCGAACGGCATCAACCTCGACCTGATGTTCGTTTTTATTTTCATTTCAGTTTTCACGTGTTCATTTCCTGTGATCACCAACCTGTAGAATGCGCTGCTTTTTTAGGCCGAACGTTTTCTTTAATCGACTCTCCATCGGATTCTGAAACTACGTAGGTTAACTGCCATCTTGTTTTTTCCGTTGACGATTTGGTGTTAAAGGGATCCGATGGGAGTTACGGCTCGAAAACGGGAGCCCTGTACGTCGAAGGACTTTGCACACCCCAGAGGGCGGGCAGCGCCTCAATATCAAATTCCCCGTCGTCACCGCCAGAACCCGTTCTCGGTGGCTTCTGGGCCAAATTCGATGATTTAGCGACAAAAACTATTTAAAATTGAGTGGAGATTTTAGAAATGAGCTCAGAATTTCCAAATTGGAGTGTTTTCATAAAGAAATCGAGCAAAAATAGTTTCACCCGCGGCTCTCGTCCCGCAGCGGCCACTGGCAATTTCCCAGATATATAAGGCCCCTCCCAAAAGGGCTTATATTCAGCATTTCCGCGCCCCTTTAAGGCTCTTTTTTTCTTTTATTTTCTTTACCAACCTGTTTGGTTTTTCTTGCCTTAGGAAACGGCAATATTTCAGACGGATGTTGCCCGGGTAGTGGACCATGATAACCCTCGATGTCCAGCGATAATTCACGGACGGTAGGAATTCTCTTTAGCAGCCGCAGAAGATGGTGGAAAAAGCGCCGATGTCGGATGGGATACTCCCTGTTTTTGGTAAAGGCTTGAAAGGCTCGTGAATTGAACTGACCGGTAGCGCTTTTTGTCATCGTCACTCATTTCTGCATCGCTCGCTTTCCTAAATTAATACAAATTAGAAGGGGCCATATTGGCCATAAACCATTTTTATGGCTTGTTATATAGTTTTTAGGTAAAAATAAATCATAAAAGGTATAAAAAATTTGCTTCTGCGTCAAAAGTGTATAAAAAATTACCAAAACGCTAAGATTTTCGAATTTTCGAATTTTTTGAAAACATTTTTATGTCTTGCTAGCAATTAAAACTGCCCACCATACCTGCCCAACATATTATTTCTACGACAGACTCACTTTTTGCCGTGTAGATGAAAAATGCTGCGGCGATGGTTGCTGGCAAGTATCATCGTTCCGTCGCGGCTCTTCACTCCAAGCTCGAACCACTTTAGCGACGCCTAATTGGCGATTTTAATTGTCGGCACATTCCATTCGGCCGGGGGCAAAAACCGACGCCGGGTAAATTTGGACATTTTTGCATAAAATTTTTTATACATATATTAAACCGGGCCAAAATTAACATTTAGTAGATTTTTTGATCCTCTGATGGCTTTGAACACGTCCTGTGAAATAAACGGAAGTTTCGAAAAATAGCGGTCCAGTCCAGGTACCTAGGTGGAAACGACGCTTAAATCTTGTTTTTTCTATAACCCTTTTATATAACATTGTTTTAGGCTGTAAAGCTTACATCCCTGAGTATATTTTTTGACGCTCTATCGAATGGCTTCTTCAAAACATCGAAAAAAACTGTGAAAATATCGAAAACCAAAACTTTGATCCCAATTTCGCAGGTATCTCGGCGACAGGACTTACCTTCCAACCTGATACATTGGTTGGGCTATAATTAAACTCTTAATATATTTTTATTTTTCAAGAAACTCCGAAAAACTAGCGAAAATATCGAAAACGCCCCCTGCGCTTTTGCCCGCGGCGTGGATTTTTACCCCGGCCAACAGTACCGAATTGTCCAGTCAGCGCTAGAAAATTTCTGTCTCCAAGAATGCGTGCCACAATGAATAGTGCCGACCTTTTTTTGCTTGCCCTTCGGCTCCTGACCATGAATATATAGAGTTTGTACGCGACCCGGAAGCAATCCACGATGGTTAATTCGGCGTCTAAAGCAAAAAATCATAGGTTATTAAAGATCCATATTTTGCAAGTTTTGTACATTGCCTTGCGAGGCTAGAATCCACCTAAATGCCTTTGTCGTCCGCTGGAGCTTGATCAGCTCTTCTGGTTCGAGCCGATCGAGCACATCGGCAATCAGCTGTTCCGGTAACTTGAGCATCTACAAAACGTTTTGAATGAGGGTGAGGAATGGCAAGAATCGGAAAAACTGGATGGAATAATAGCGATAAAATCACGCTTAACTCATCTCGTTCCATCCCATGTTCAATTTTGAAATTGTAAAGATTTTCGATATTTTTGAAACGCTAACCGATAGAACGTCCAAAAAGAGAGTTTTTTGTGAGACCGAAAAATTGCACTGCCAAAGTTCTATAACATAAAAACTTTAGTTCAAAACCACCTCCGAGAATAACGGGTGGAAGTCGCTTTTAGGCATTTCGAAATATTGACAATATTTTGAAAATGCCATTTGATAGAGAGCTGATTTTAAGAGCTTTTTTACAGCCCGAAAAATGTTTAAAAAATTTTATAGGAAAACTTTGATTTTCCCGTTGTTTAATACAACGTGAGCTTTTTAACGTTCCAAAAGGTCGGAGAGATACTTTTTGAATGGACCGCGCGTGCTTCGATCCAGACCAACATCTGCCGTAACAGAGGGTCGTTATGCCATTAATTCTTTTATCTGATCGGGACTGCATTTTTACCAGTGATGGCGACCCATAAAAACTATGTGCAGCCGAAATTTCTAAGCAAAATATTGTAAAGCAAAAATTTATTGCGTTTTATGCGCTTTTAAATGTTTTTTATTTTTATTTTACTAGCTTTTCATCGTATTTTGCCATCCTTCACAATTTTTATCAAAGAAAATTGGTTTCTGTTAGCCTCAGGCTTTCAGTTGCTCATCGTCGTGGCATCGGCATGGTCAAGGTAATCCGCGGCAAAATTCGAGTAGTCGACGTTGTCACCTGTCGAATTATTATGAGTCACTAAAAGTTTTCTTTATAACTGACGGGATTTAAATTTTAATTAAACCTTAAATCAAAAAAAAATTCGAAAAAATCACGTTTTACGCGGCTTTCCAAAACCCACCCCTTACAGATCTTTTCAAGACGAAGCCCCTCACATCGGTGAGATCGGGATTGGCTGGTTGCCAAAATCTAGCTTCCCAACACCTTTAAAATAATGTTGAAAAGACAAACCTGTAATGTTCATTTTTCCAATAGGTGCCCCTCCATCGGTTTTCGCTTTCCCGTTTCCGCTCATCGCCGAATTTGCGGCTTTTGCTAGGCCATTGGCAAAGGTTTTCAGGACTTGTGTGGCTGCCTCTGGAATACGCAGCTTACTACTTATGCACATACCCACACACCTTACGTTATTAACTCGAAATATGGAAAAAATATATACAATTTAAGTTCGACTTAAAAGCCAAGCCCGTTCAAGTCACAGAAAATCTAAAAAAAACTGACGAGCTCCCTGCTTGAACATTTGGGGCATTTGCTGCATGGATTTGGCCTGGGCTTGCACCGAGGCGTAGGCTTGGTCGAAGAACTGAAGTTGTAATTTAGGATGTTTCAACAATTTCACCTACATTAATGAAACAGTCTTGCCATTGGCTCATCTTGTCGGCAGCGGAAGCGGTAAAGTTGGACATCATCGACTTGATATCCCTAAAAAAAGATAGAATTCGAATTTTTGCTAATTTCGCTTTTGACGCTCTCTCACTCTCTCTCACTCGCTCTCTCCTCTTTCCCCTCGTTCTATCTCTCTCTCTCTCTCTCTCTCTCTCTCTCTCTCTCTCTCTCTCTCTCTCTCTCTCTCTCTCTCTCTCTCTCTCTCTCTCTCTATCTTTCCCTCTCTCCCTCTCTCTCGCTCTCTCTTTCTCTACCTTTCTCTCTCTCGCTCTCTCTCTCGCTCTCTCTCACTCTCTCTCTCTCTCTCTCTCTCTCTCTCTCCCTCCCTCCCTCCCCTCCCTATCTTCCCTATCTAGACAGGATGGGGTTATTCAAACAAACTTGAGCAAACTGAGAGCTCAAATCTGAATATTTGAAGGCAAAAATTCAATTCAAATCGGTGGATTTGATTTGAAATCCGTGGACGAGTTCAAACAAACTCGAGGATTTGATTAAGCTTCCGGTCCTTAATCAAATCTTATGGAGATGCCGGCATGCAAAACGTAAGAAAATCGCGTTGGCCGAGCTGGCGCGAACCGGAAATGACCTTGATTATGCATACCATCATACAATTAGCACCGCGAATGAGCTATTGATTTTTTCGACTGCTTTCAAATCCTCGTTCAAATCTTCAGATTTGAACTCAAAACTTCAAGTCCAAACAACGATTTGATTTGAGGGCTGAAACCTTATTCAAATCAAACCGTCAGATTTGATTAGGCGGATGCAAATTAGATTTGGGATTTGAATAATACCATCACTGATCTAGACCAACTTGTTAGACATTGACGGCATCGCTCCGATCATCATCCCACCGGTGCCAGTCGGAGCATCAATTTGAATCCACTGCTGATTCTGGTCATCCCACACCCATGATCCAACCACATCCTCAAAACAGCTTTAAATATTTAAATCGATATGATTAATTAAAATAATTACATCATTATGTAAGTCATGAAATTTTTTGGTCAAAAAGCTAAAATATCATCGAAAAAAGCGTGAAGCGGTGCAGCTTACCCTTTTCTTGATCTCCGCTGCATGGCAAATCCCAAGAAGCGCGACGGCTACGAAGAGAACTATGGACAGACGGGCGGCCATTTCCCTGTAAAATGGACTCAAAGTTCGTTTCCGATGTGCCTATATTCTGGCCACCCCATGCGAACCTCGGCTTAACCCACCCCGATCCCAATTACCTGTGTGCTTTTTGCGTTTTTCAGTCTATCGGCCCTTTTCATGGGCCCGAGCCGTTCAATATGTTGGCAGTTTCAAATAGGGACCATTTAGAAGAAATTTTTAAATGATGTGACTGTTTTTGGAGGTCGAAAAGTCAGCGAAAACGGAGAAATCGCCGGTCTTGCTTTGAAGGGAGGGTGACAGCTGGCTTTTTGCCGTTGATAGGTGAAGATTTTTGAGAAACTCGTAAAAAGGTATTCGAAGCATATATTTGCCCTTGGAGAGAAAGCGAGAGAGAGCGAGAGGGAGAGAGAGAGAGAGCGAGAAAGCGAGAGCGAGAGCGAGAGAGAGCAAGAGGAAGACGGAGAATTAGCGCGATAATATGAGAAAAAGGCAAAAGACGCTGGAGAGAGAGTGAGAGAGAGAGAGAGAGAGAGAGCGAGAGAGAGGGGAGGAGGAAAGAGGGAGGGAAAGAGGGAGAGAGAGAGAGAGGGAGAGAGAGAGAGAGAGAGAGAGAGAGAGAGAGAGAGTGTGTGATAGAGGGGAGAGATAGTGAGATAGAGACAGAAAGATAATTCTTTGTGTTTGAATTTTGAGTAACTTCCGGTGCAAACGTGTGCCCATTTATTGTACTTTTATTGTACTTTTCCAATAAAAAATTATTATCGCGGGTAATGGTAGCCGGTCTATTGCTTCTCCCAGAAATTGACAATCTTGTCAGCCTTCTGCTCGGGTCGATTCCAGGTCTCGGTGTCATTCCACGAGTTGTCGTACTCCGTGTTATCGTACAACGCATCAGCGGCTGGAAACGGATTATATGGCTTGACGTGTTAAGAGGAATTAAATCAAGCTAGCTACATTTTCGAAAATGTGTTAAAATTACTCGAATTTCCAGCATTTGTGCCGTTGTGCTTCTTTCCGCCTCCATTCTTCTTTCCTCCCATCGCCGTCTTCGCTGCGGCTGCGATGTCATTTGCGACATTCTTCAAGACTCGAGTCAAGGCTTCTAAAAACATTTTTTTTTATCCGGATTTTCTGTAGTATGCTATGGTCACTCTTAATTAAAAATAGGAAACCTATTTATGGGCAAGAAGGCGTTTTAACCCTAATTTTCTAAAATTTGCAGGTAACAAATATAAATTTTTGGTTTCAAAACATTTTCAGACTGAAATTGTATCGAGGATAAATCTTAATAATGTATTAACCCTAAAAACGTGCATATAAACTGACGCGTGCCCTCCTTGAAGAATTGCGGCGCATGCTTGTACATCTGGGCCTGCATTTGCATGGATTCATGGGCTTTGGAGAAGATCTGAAACAGGCAGATTCACAGCGAGGGTTCAGCTACGTGAAATTCACTTGATTATGATGGGTAATTCCAAAAAAGGCATGGAACAAGTTCTCATGAGAATCTCCTTAAAGGGGCTACGAAATGCCAAAAATTGAGTGACGGCCCGAAAATCGGAGCCCTGTACGTCGGAGGCCTCTGTACACCCAGGGGCCCGGGAAGCTCGCAAATTTGAAATTGCCTGTTGTCACCTCGAAATCGCGTTCTCGGTTGTTTCTGGGCCAAATTTGATGCTTAAAACACTAAAACTACTTAAAATTAAGTGAGGATTTCAAATTATAGTGTTTTCACAAGGAAACCGGGCAAAAACAACTTCGCGCAAAAATTGAAAGGATGAGGGCTCTCGTCCCGCAGCGCCCGCTGGCAATTTGCCAGAAATCAAAGAATCCTCCCAAAAGGGCTCTTTGATTTGGCAGTTCGGTGACCCTTTAAAAACTTACCTGCGTCAACGTATCCTGGGCTTGACTCATATAATAGGCGGCTGCGTTTTGCATGTCTTGCATCGCCTTCTTCACGTCTCTAGAAAAAACGAGTTGAAAGGTACGTTGAAGGTAGAATACGCTGGAGTGTATTTCGGCATGCCCATCACGGTGTTACTGGGGGCACCATTTGCCCACATCATTGTGTCGTCATTGTTCCAGTTGGACTGCTAAAAAAAGAATGTTTAGATGAGTTTCCCTGAAATTTCTCTCTATTGCTGTCGCTCTCCTCTCTCTCCCTCTCTCTATCGTCCTAGCTTTTCGCTAATAATATAAATTTTGAGGTTTTTAGGTTTTTGTTAATCCGGTGCTTACTATGTCGAATAAAATCAAAAGTGTTCAATTCTGCTTTTAAAGGGATGCGCATGGTATCACTTTGTCTTTGATTGTTGTGGATTCCAAAAAAATGATGGCACGATTACGATACCCATCGCACACGCGCCGTTAAACCTTGCGGAAAGTATCTTAATCGATTACGCAGTGGGAACCCGCGCTGGTGCTTTGCATGTCGCAGCCGCGGCCAGATAATCCGGAGTGATGCCTTACCAGCCTCCGTTAGTATATAACTTATTATACACCGTAGCTAACCGTAGGAACCCAAAATCGTACCCTTTTCGCTCGATTCTCCTGCGCTTCAGCTGCAGACGAAATCCCAAACAAGCAAACAGCGACAAGAACGAAGTATTGTAGACTGGCCATTGTTGAACCCGACGAGTAAATGACCAAAAATGCCGGTCACCGCCAATATATGGACCCTCACGCGAATCGGGGCTTTGCGTTCGGCCATCCCAATTAGTGGATGGATCGTTTTTATTATGTATGTGGCGTGCTATGGCCTCTCCCCTCGCATTCTCTCTCTCTCTCTCTCTCTCTCTCTCTCTCTCTCTCTCTCTCTCTCTCTCTCTCTTCGCCTCTCGCCTCTTTCCGCTTTCTCGCTAATGAACCGTCAAGTCCATCCGATGAACCTGACCCCGCTCTGAATCAGCCCCATCGGATTGTTTTGTCGATCTGCACACAGGTCGAAATTTTGTGCATAGTCACGAATTAAAACACAGTGTAGGATGAGAGCGAGAGCGATCGAGACATAGAGAGCGATAGAGAGTGAGAGAGAGGACCAGAGAGAGAGCGACAGAGATAGAGGGCGAGCGAGAGAACTACAGCGACAGAGAGACATTCTCAACATTCTTTAAACACCGCTTAAACTTACGGAGCTTCAAAAAAAGTCAGCTATCCCACTCCCACTCTCTCGCTGTCTATATCTGTCACTGATACACGCATCTCTTTTTTAGGCGTTGTTCTGAATTTGCAGCAATCTGACCAATATCCACTTCTCTACGTGCTCCCACGCACCCGCCACTATTTTCTGCAAGTTCAAATTGTCCCATTTTTCCATTTTTCATTTTTAATCCACCCGGCGCCGAAGCGATGATTCAGACGGAAAGCCGGGGATAATTTGGCTCACTGACGGTCAGCTAACATCATCGGATTTTGCGCCAAAATTGGTAACCGTTGGTCGGTGAGCCAATTAGGGATGGGGGTACGGTAGACGGGATGGATTTTTGAGGTCAAGGGCAGACACAAGAAGGGAAAGTTGCAGGGAAGTTTTCGGCCTTCACTCTGGCCCAGCACAATTTAGTCGCCTTCCGTAAGGATAACTAAAGACGGAGGTTGGGAGCGAGAGTGAGAGAGAGAGAGAGAGTCGCAGAGCTAAGGAGACTTCTATAACTATCTCTCTCGCACTCACTCTCTCGCTCTCGCTCTCTCTCTCTCTCTCTCTTTTGATCGCTCTTTCTCGCACTCGTTCTCTCTCTTTAGCTCTCTCTGTCTCTCACTCTATCATTCTCTTGCTCAACTATTCTACTTTTTGGGCAAACTACAAAGTCCCCCGGGCCAAATATGATGTTGTTTACGCAAGATATCGACCCTTCCTTGCTCTTTGATTAGATCTGGGTTGATCCTATCCCCGAGGCATACGTCACAAGGTCAAAGCCATATAACCGCCCGCCAAAAATTTGCATAAATAGCCGTGCTCTATAATAGCAGGCTCAGCTTGGACCAGCTAGCTTAGAAAATGCAAGCTATTTTCTGTGCTTTACTACTACGCGCAATTTTTGCTATATCCCCACCGTGGTCAGCCAATTTTCATGCGCCGGTTATTGGAAACGATGTGCCGTATTCAGGTAAATTTTTAGATGGTTACTCTGTCGATTCTGTAGTGACCCCGTGACCCCGCGAAATTAAGTAAATGGGTTATTTTTAATCCTTTAAAGCTCAAAAACGGGCTATCTAAACGTATCTTTTAGATCAAACCCAGCCAGGTGGAAAAGTGCTGGCCGAGTTGCTTCACCAACGAAAGCCGTTCGACTTTTACAACAGATTCACGGAGGAATTCCTGCCCGATAGCCAAGCCATCGCGCGGATGTTGGCCACCGCACAATATTCTGACATTATGGTCGGATTTCTAAGCATAAAAAATCGTCAGAAATATGTTTAAAAACTATGTAGCAATAGCCCTGAAATCACAACATACAATCGGTAGCGTTCTGGTCCTGCTCCCGTTAAGCTCGAAAATTCTTTTACTACACAGTTAGCTTCTTTTTGAGGCGGTTTGCCGCTGTCTAGACCTAGCGAAAAGAGGGATCGATTCTGGCGCACCGGGATCGTTTAAAGCCTCATCGAAGAAAAGTTCGTTTAGGTGTCTCAACTATCCGCCGACGAAGAACTTCACAGCTGCCCTCCGCGACGGATTGCCGACTATCAATCGGCGCATCTCCGAGAATTTGCTGACGAGAAGTGTGCAGAGGAGCGGATTGTACGCGGTAATTTTTTAGGGAATCTAGAGATATCAACTTAATGGGACGGTGAATGCCCAAATCCAACCTTCAGGACCAGCGGGTCAAATGACACGCAAACGAGTGAAAATCCCTCAATTTTCCCCGTAATTTGGCGTGGTACGTAGTTGTCGAGATCTAGTCTAAAAAAGGGTCAATAAAAAGCGTCTCATTGTCGCCGTAAGAATAAATTTTCAGTACATTCTCGACAAAATGGACACTTTCTTCACCAGGGCTTTTGCGCTGTCGGATCCGATGAGCCTGAGCTTTGCCTGTCATCACTATTCACCCCTGCAAATGTTTGAGGTTCGCAGCTTTCTCCCCTTGCCTTCATCACTCTTCTTACCAGGTCTACAACAGTCTCCTAAATTGTGCCCCGATGAGTTGGCCGCGTGTCAACTTGACGAACGCATTAATGGACACTTTCCGTCTGATCGAGCAGAGCCCCGGATGGGGGAAATTGGGAGCAGAGGAGGCTGATGATTATGAACACTACAAGAGCAGTGGGTTCTAGAAACATTTTCAAACGGATGAAGAAGCCACAAATTTTTCCCCGTCCACAACACGCAACGCGCGCATCGCTTGGCCATCGTGAAGCGCACAGAATTATCTTGTTTTAGTAAATTTTAACCGGTTTTTAGAAGCTATGAAAACGGGTTCTGGTTCGTTAGCGGTGGACTTCCCCGGATATCCCCCCGCTAATGAATTAGTACCCCAAATGCCAGCAAAATTTGGAATGCATGCTATTGTAGATAGGTCGTAAAAGTCGTTTTCTATCTAAAATATACGCTTAGGGGGAAGGGGGCATGCTAAATTTTAACCTACTACTAAAAACGTTGTAAAATTTACTATTTATACGTTAATTTTTAAACATGCACCGGCCCGATTTTTCAAATGTATCAAAAATATTTCTCTTTTTTAGACTACATCTACCTGGCTCAATCTTCGAAGACTTTCGAAGACTATCGCGCCAATCCTGCAGCTTTTGATGCCGAAATGAAACAGGCCACGGATTTCCTCACTACCAGTACACTTTATTGCCATTGACGCGGATTTTTTAACATAATCTCACCAAATGCTTGATTTTCAGTGATCGGGTTGGATCGGTATACGGTACTCCGCCGCTTGGCTTATTGGTCACAGGAGAGTAATGAAAAGTACGTTTTGAAAATTCTACCGTCATCGCGTAATTAGGTGTATGGTGGACATGTTGAAGCCGGAATATGCGATGAGGCATGAATATATTATGGAAATCGGGCAGATCATGGTCAAGGATTTGGAGAAAATTGTGAGTGGGAAAGATAGAGAGAGAGAGAGAGAGAGAGAGAGAGAGAGAGAGAGAGAGCTAGAGAGGGAGAGAGAGGTAGAGAAAGTGAGAGAGGGAGCAATAGAGAGAAAGAGAGGGAGAAACAGCTATAAGGATAGTAAATGGAAAAAGAAAGAGAGAGAGAGAGAGAGAGAGAGAGGGAGAGTGAGTGAGAGAGAGAGGACTAGAGATAATTCTGAACTTTTCAGGCCTTCCTCTCCGATATCTGCAGCCGCGTCCTCGCCAACGAACCGGATTACGCCACCGCTTACAAAGATCAAGACCTACTAGCCACCGCCCAAAAACTGAGCCATCTACTGGTTTCCAAGCAGGTTTGCTACCATTTCTGCCTATAATTATATTCTTTCACACTTACCGGACGTTTACTCGCTACTTTTAGCTGTACACCACATATCCTGCGTCGGATGTCCCCCGATGCACCCCGGTTGGAGAACACTTCCCGGGCGGGCGGCCATAGAAACCGTTAACATCTTATTGATTCCGTTTTCGTATGTTTTCTTTACTGCAATATGGATAAATAATTTTTTCTTTTTTGGATTCATTTAATTTCAAAATCTATTGAGAACAGGACCGTTCTGACGTATTTGTTAGCGAACTGATTGGAAAGCTAGAATTTAGCCTTAAAAACCGATTACGACAAGTGTTCGAAAGAAGTGACGCAGAAGAGTGAAACCTTGGTCCTAGGGTCAGGTCGACAAAATTTTGGCACGTCCCGGGTGGCCAGCTGTGAGTTTTCGGAGCGCTTAAAGGGACCAACAACGCAAAAAACTACCTCGTCCATCTACTTGGGCGTTCACGCTACGCGTCACTCCAAAATCCCGCATGCAAAAACAGTCGATTCGGTTAGAGTGCAGTTTACCCCCCCCCCAGCCCAGCTCCTCAGCCATACGTCCTATTAATGCGCCGAGTATCTCAAAATGTTCGCCGTGGTCGAAAACCCCTGGAAAAGTTGTTTACTTGCGCCAAAAATTGTCAGAAAATTTTTTACAAAATTTTGAAAGTTGAAAAGATTAATCCGCTATGCATCAATGTACCAGGAGTCAAAAACTCAAATATTTTTGTTTTCCGCTCGTTTTTTTTTTGACCCAAGCATACTGTAGGCTTATTCTCCAGAGCAAGAGCTACATTTTGGTACCATTGACAGCTCTGTACGACTAAAGATAGCCGAGATACGAAAACTCACTTTGGAACAGCAAAAATTAACTAAAGAAAACCCAGACTTATAATTCTTATAAAAAATTTTTTAACAATTTTTGGCGCAAGTAAACAACTTTTCCAGGGGTTTTCGACCACGGCGAACATTTTGAGATACTCGGCGCATTAATAGGACGTATGGCTGAGGAGCTGGGCTGGGGGTAAACTGCACTTAAGCCGTCGATTCTTGCTCGTCTTATCCCAGGAAATGTACCAGAAAAATGAGGTTCAGCACGTTTTTGTATTTTTGATAGCTGTCGACAGCCAGTCGAGAAGAAGGGACGCATCTTAGGCGTCCAAATCCCTTTAAACGAATTTCGGAAAAACTAAAGGTTTTGAAAAGAGCATTTTTATCCAAAATACTGCTTTCCTTGCACCATTGATTGTTTATATAGTGTCCCCTTGGCAATTAAACTAGATCGTAGCTGTCTGCCTCCAGTAAGCGGAAGGTTTCGATTCTCGTGGTTCTCAGCAATAGTAAGAATTTTCGAAAATGCGAAATTTTCCGGAAAGTACAGGGTGTCCCAAAAAAAACCCCCCAACCTAGCGGTCCGCAGTCGATTCCGATTTTTACGATTTAGGTATCTATCGAAAGCTCTCGAAAAGGCGAGAAAACAAGGAGGGTTGAATTTCTTAATTAAGCCTGCTTAATTATAATATATCTAATTATCTATAATACGTAATTATATCTGTGTAGTCCTTAACTTTCTGTCCCGTAAAACACGATTTTCAAGCCGATATTGCCGTATCTTATTCAGTAGCTTCTCCTTCTTTCCCACTCCCACCGCCACCACCTGATCTACCAAATGCTCATTCCACTCCGTTGGGGACCCCAGAGTTCTCAGTCCATTCTTTTCTTTTCTTCTTCTTCTTTTCGATGTGTATCCCATCCTGCCATTCGTCTATGAAGGTGGGTCGGGCTCATAAAGTCTCTTCTACCCGTCCCCCTCCCCTCCTCATTCCAAATTTTTGGATGGCCACCCCGATCCATGAGCTGTGGGTGGTGACTAGACTCGCAATTTTGGTACCAGAGAACGAAAAAAGAGCATTTATTTTGGGGACCTCAGAGTTCTTATAATACTTCTTGTTATATCAAATTATTTAATGTTATTAGCATTCTGTAGGGCATCTTTTGGACAAAATTTTAGCAGGCGCTTTCTTATTTCCTAAGATTGAGAACCAATTTATAGCTATTTCTTCATCTCAAAAGCACAAAAAATTATTAGAATTCAAGACTAGAAAACGTTTGCACGCTCGATTTTTCCGTTTGTCCGAATTTCTATAGTGCGTCAACGCTGCGCTTAAAAATGCATGATTTCACTGTGAAGATCTTTAATTGTTTTTCTTTGGCTTCGTTCCAAATTTTTTAGAATGATTTGAATCCGATGAGTCTAAATTTCCAAGCTGAAGCTTGTTTTTTCGTCTGTTTAATGTCTACTCCGCCCTAACTCCCCCGAATTAGGGTTGTTATACGAGTTGATTCGCCAGCGAGTTGATTCGAATAAGTCCCGATTCGCAACCGGCGAATGGAAATTTCGTCGATTCAATTCGCCAGCGAGTTGATTCGCTCGCGATTTGACTCATAGCGAATTTGACTCGTTGGGAACGAATCCTATTCAAAACGAACGATTCGTCAGACGAGTTGATTCGTTGGCGAATCGATTCGTTGCCCACGAATCAGAATCAAACGAATCGATTCGTCCACGAGTTGATTCGTTTGCCGTTCTGACTCGTCGGAAGTTGTTATATGTTAATGAAAAACGCTATGTAAATCAAAAAACAGCCTTTTTGGGTTTCTTTCGGGGGGCTGTCTGGGGTGCTTTTCGGCAGTATATGACTAGGCTTTTTTGACCAAATCAGAAGATGAACATCATCTACGAGCAGTTCGCACAAATCGACGCCAAACCGCTCGCAACTCATTTGGGGGTCGTTTGGTAGCATTCCTTCGAGGTTGTTGAAGGCAGCGCACGACTTCGAGACGTTTTTTTCTAACCGCCTTACAAGGAGACGTTTTTAGGTGGGCACGGAGTTTCGAAACGGGACCTAGCCTATTTTGTGCAGAATTTTTTGCAGATTAAAACGTACTTTGTAGAATTTGCGAAACGACCGGAAAACCGAAGTTATGAGGGTTTAAAGTGTGAAAAAAGGCCCAAAATGGCCTACTTTCGGCACCTATAAAATATAGCAGAATAAGTTTTCCCGAAAACTAATTAGTGCATCTTGCTCAGAAAATTACGCTCTTTCGAATCAGCCATCTCATGAAACAAGTTCGAACATTTTTTCAAAAAGATTAATTGAGACGACATGGTCCCCCATGTGAAATTTCAGCAATTTGACGAAATTTTGAAATTTCCGCGTGACGTAGCTCATTCGAAAGAGCGTAATTTTCTGAGCAAGATGCACTAATTAGTTTTCGGGAAAACTTATTCTGCTATATTTTATAGGTGCCGAAAGTAGGCCATTTTGGGCCTTTTTCACACTTTAAACCCTCATAACTTCGGTTTTCCGGTCGTTTCGCAAATTCTACAAAGTACGTTTTAATCTGCAAAAAATTCTGCACAAAATAGGCTAGGTCCCGTTTCGAAACTCCGTGCCCACCTAAAAACGTCTCCTTGTAAGGCGGTTAGAAAAAAACGTCTCGAAGTCGTGCGCTGCCTTCAACAACCTCGAAGGAATGCTACCAAACGACCCCCAAATGAGTTGCGAGCGGTTTGGCGTCGATTTGTGCGAACTGCTCGTAGATGATGTTCATCTTCTGATTTGGTCAAAAAAGCCTAGTCATATACTGCCGAAAAGCACCCCAGACAGCCCCCCGAAAGAAACCCAAAAAGGCTGTTTTTTGATTTACATAGCGTTTTTCATTAACATATAACAACTTCCGACGAGTCAGAACGGCAAACGAATCAACTCGTGGATGAATCGATTCGTTTCGATTCTGATTCGTGGGCAACGAATCGATTCGCCAACGAATCAACTCGTCTGACGAATCGACTCGTCAGTGAATTGATTCGTTTTGAATCGGATTCGTTCCCAACGAGTCAAATTCGCTACGAGTCAAATCGCGATTCGAATCAACTCGTTTAAATTTTTTGACGAATCGATTCGTCAACGAATCAACTCGTATAACAACCCTACCCCGAATACAAATTGCACCCCGAAATGCCGGAAACAAGCCACGCCCACTTTTTTGGTCTCTCGTTCCGACCCGTTTTTTTGTTTATTTTTTCGATGCGTTCAACATCAAATTTTCGTCCAGAATCAGCAATAATTGGAAAATTAGTTCTTTTCCCTTTATATTTCCATCGCTCTCTCTCTCACTATCTTTCTATCTCTTTTTCCCTCTTTTTCGCTACCGCCTACTACCTAACAAGTTTTTCTTTTTTACTTTCTTAAATTGCGACGGCCTAAAAAAGCTCACCTCATTTTCTGTAACAAAATCCCATTTAATGCTTATATTTTGATACTCTGTTAATGAGAAGCCGTAGTCCAAACTCCCAGCGCTTGCCTTGCGCGTTCCTTTAAAGTGTGCCAACTGCAAGAGTCTACTTTCTTACATTCCAATGCTTTTAAAACGGTCATAACCCTCTTTTTCCATAACAGTTCGTTTTAATACCTTTATTTTTATAGTTTCTGGATAATAGGCGCCGCCGACTTTGTGACAAACCCTGAATTCCCACACTCGAATGGGCTAGCCAAATGATGAGGGCGGCCTGTTGGAAATGATGTGACACACCTTTGCGACCATAGGAACCCTCGAAATGTTGATATCTCAAGGATTGAATTCGTCGAAAATTCCCTTCCTCGTCTGTTTCTTGGTTAATCTCGTCTCGGCCGTCTACGAAAAGGATCTCGTCTCACATCTTCTCGCCGGCTATAATAAGGTCAGTGAAAGGCCCAAAAAAAGCGGAAACGGACGGATTTTCGCTCCTTTTTGCCGAAAATACTACTGGAAAACGTTGAGCAATTTGTCATAAAAAGCCTAAAAAGTATAAATTTATGAAAAACAATTTATTTACTATAATTTATCGAATTTGCTAACTGATTGTAATTCAACGAAAATCGCTCATCGGAAGCTTTTTTGATATTGAATTACTGCTAAAAATACGCTGAACTGGGTTTTAAAGTATACGTTAGATCGTAAATTACATAAAATTCCCAATGATCTTTGCTAGCTGACGAGTAAACAAATTTTCCGAGAAAGTTTGATTTTCAGATGGTGCTAAAAACACGCTCAATCTAATTTAAAGGTGCGGTAGTTTGTAAATTGTATAAACCGGATTCCAAGATGTCTTTGCTAGCTATCTACTGACCATTTTTTGTAAAACATCAACAACTTTGCTCGTTTTAGCTAGCCCGCCCGGTCCGGGACTACAACTCGAAGCTCAACATCACCGTCCAACCGCAAATCTACAGTCTGATCGAAGTGGTGGGTATTTCTTCAAATTCCGAATTTTATTGCTACATAGATTTTTAATTACGCTAATACCCAATGTACTCTTTGCCCGCGCTAGTCGATTTTTATGATTCTAAAAGTTCCCTAATTTTTCTAATTTTTTTTCAGAACGAGCTGAGCGAGCAGATCAAGCTGCTTTTGTGGTTTCCTCAGGCAAGCACTTCATTTAAGCTAAATAAAAATAAAGCTAATTAAGCTAGATAAAAGCTCTCTGCTGTCACGTTCTTATTAAAGGGTCAATGAAGCGGGAAATCGACCCTTCAGGCACCTGGGTCTCGACAACTACACAAACCGCCTAAAAACGTGACAAGATTGGAGTTTTTATCTAAACTCGGCTCTCCACAGTCTCCAGAAAAAATTTATTCATGTCAATTGGTGTAGTTCGTAGTTGTCTAGACCTAGCGGAACCAGTGGGTCGATTTTATTATTTAGTACCCAAAAACCCTTAAAATTCCCTAAAAATTTTCATGACTACGCTTAAATTTGCCGTAGTTTTTACTCGATTATCGTGACCCATTGACCAAATTACGTCACAATTTCCGGTTTTGTTTCGGCAAGCTGCTGCGTGGCTTTACGTCCAGATCTGCGCTCTTTCCAAGTTTCGCAAAGCTTTAGCAACCCCTTCTAAAAACCGCCTCGCAAGACTTTAGCGCGAGTTCAAAAAGCGCCAATGATTCCCGTCTAAATGATGCCCCGCACGGCTTCTCGCTGGCTGCTTGCTGGTTGGCAGTCAGCTTCCGCTCAGAAATTCGGAGCGTTCCCACCGCCTTTTTCAAGGAGGGCACCAAATAGGGGTGATGGGGGATAGGGGTGGAAGGACTCGAGTACGGCACACACCCACGTACGCCCTGGAAATGGGGGGATTTAGCGATTGAAGTGCCTTTTGGAAACGAAAAAAACAAAGTACTTTGGTCGCCAAAAAAAGTGGAAAATTAAAAAGTCGGAAAACTATCTCTAAAATAGAAATTAAGGAGAAAAAAATTAGGGGAAAAGATAAAAATAAAATGGAAGATATGTTTTCAAAGAAATTTTAATTTTTGTAAAAAACCACGATACAAAAAGCCTATCTCTGCCTTTTTAGAGCTGGAAAGACGAATTCCTGACGTGGAACGCGACGGAATGGTCGGGGATACGATCGATAAACGTACCAGCAACGCAAGTCTGGCTTCCGGATGGCTACATATTCAACACGTAAGCCGATTTTTACAGTCGTACGACCAGACAATGATAGAGTCGACGTAAAAGAGCCCCTGACGCAATTCAACGTGCGGGTCAGCCACGAGGGGATCGTTGAGGCCGACTTCAACAAGGTCAGTTGAAGAGGGTTTTCTAAAATTTCCAGTCAACTTAATTTTGAAAGCAGATAAAGCGGACTTGGCAAAAGTCAAAGTCGTAAAATTACTAAGCCCACCTTTTTCGGGGGTAGCTTTTGGGGATTCACAGTCCGATTTGGTAAAGTTCGGAATTTCAAGTGCCGTGTAAAACTTGTCACTTTGCTCAATTTCAGCATCAAAAAGTTAATTGACCGGCTTTAGTTAATCGACATCGGCTGCTCGATGTCGATCCTGAATTTCCCGTTCGACACCCAGTTGTGCTCACTTCAATTCGGATCGTGGAGCTATCAATTCCACCAAATATCACATATCATGAAGCCGGTGAATGTGCCTACAAATGCTGTAAGTAGAAAGGGGGAGAGAAAGAGAGAGAGAGATAGGGAGAGAGAGACGGAGAGAGAGACAGGGAGTGAGAGGGAAAGAGAGAGAGAGTTCGGAATCGAGAGTGAGATAGAGATAGAGAGAGACACAGAGAAAGACATCGAGAGTCAGAGAGACAGAGAGCGATAGAGAGAGAACAGTTTTCTTTATGTCCATAAAAACCTATAATATTTTAGCACAACTCCGAGTGGGAAATCCTCAATTTCACTGCCGAAAAAGTCGTCAAATCTTATGAAGGAACGAACGGCGTGATGAATACTTATGAGGAAATTTTCTACCATTTGGTAAGGACAAAAAAATCGAAAACGACAACTTTAAACGGTTTAGAAAATCAAGCGAAAACCTTTAAACTATATCGTCGTGATTTTAATCCCGACATTTCTAATCGTCAACGTGTCAATTGTCGGATTATTCACACCGCATGGCATACAGGGAGATAGGCAGGAAAAGGTGGGATTGATCTAGTTTGGGCCTGTTTTAAAGGGGCTGCAAAGCGCCAAAATCGACCCTTTTGTCCGACTAGCTCTCTACAACTACGCGGTACCCCAAATCAGCCATTTTGTATCTAGTCGATATCACTTGAGGGCCCAGCTTGGAACAAAAATCTAAACGCGTTTTTACATGCCATTTGCAGCGTTGCGTAGTTGTCGAGATCAGGAAGCTACAAGGGTCGATTTTGGTGCTTCTGGGGTCCTTTAAAACAACATTTATAGGTCTCACTCGGTCTCACAACCCTTCTAACAATGGCCGTCATCCTCGACATGGTCTCCAGCGAGATGCCAAAAAGTTCAGAAGGGGTGCCGTTGCTAGGTAGGTCATTTGGATTTGAATTAAAGGGGCTGGGAAGTCAAAATCGAGCGTATGCCAATTTCCAAAAACATGAACGACAGGCTCCAAACTACGCTTAAAAACGTAAAAAATGACGCCAAAGACGCAAACCGAATCCAAAAAAGTGAAATAGGCTCTAAATTAAACTGAAAATTCGTAAAAAATGCAAACCCAAGTTGGAAAGGATCAAACTACAAGCTGCAAATTTCAGTGGGTACAAAACAAGACGTGATAAATCAAAAAACTACAAAATGCTTAAAAAACAACTGGTTAAAACCTCCGAATTTAGGCCGCTATGTGCTGATCCAAACGGCGATCTCAATACTGGCCATTGCCGTCTCCGTAATAACAATATTCATCCACGAACGGGTACTGTATATGAATACGCCGGTGCCGCGGTGGATCCTCAATCTGTTCCAGGAGCACAAGGTCAGTAAGAATAACGTAAAAAATTTTGTATATATTTGGTTAATTTACTAAACTTAACTATTAAACATTCATTAATTAAGTTTTAAATGCACAAACAATCAACACAAGTTAAATTAACGCTAAATCGCAAATAGCCGCTAGCTTGCATAAACCCAAAATGCCAAAATTTAGGACTATTACGAAGTTCCCCGGTGCCTCGATGTAAGTTTTTGAAGGGGGCTAGAAAATTGCTGTGGAAATTGGTGTGTTCTATTTTCGACCTAATTTCGATAAAATCTTAGCTGGATTTCGACGTCACGCATTCTGACGACTCGATCTGCTCGTTCAACAGCAAAAATGATGTCGTCCGGGAAGTGCGGTAAGTTAAAGTCAATATTTCCAGACAAATTTGCATTTTCTAGAGCCTGCATCAACCTGATTCGGGCCCAGCTGGCCACGATAGAGGCGGAAAAAGAGGTAAAAAATTAAATACGATCCCTTTAAGGTAAACTAGGTTTAACCTAACTTTTTTTTACTGTTTGCGTAAGCAGTAAAAGACGTAGGAAATCAATTAAAAACGCGGCTAGCAACGATTATTTAAGAAAATGCTTCCCGTTTAGATCCACGTGCTCTGGCAGCGCTTCTTCTCCCTCGCCGACGTGACGGCCATGTCGTGTTTCCTTGTGCTCAACCTGTGCACCACCGTGCTCATGTTCTGGTCGGCATTTCGTCAAGAGTTCATCGTCGGCGTGCCGTGAATTGTTGGTGGTGGTGGTGTGGATAGGTGTGTGTCGTTGGTACCTTGGTTTCAAAAAGATACGGGTTTTCAAAAATCTTCATTTTATCCTCAGAAAAGCGCGTTGTACTTGTATAAAAAAACGACGAGCTTTTCTTCCAAAGTAAGAACAAAACTTTTAAAACTCGCGATAAATTGTAATGCGCGTCAAAAGAAAACACTAGCCGTATAATTTTCGCCCATCAAAAATATGTTTAAAACTCGCAATCGCGATCGAATACAACACCTAAAGATCTACTCGCAAGCTTGCCGAGAAAACCGGCCAAACAGTTCGTTCTGAAGAAACTTGGCACTAATTGTAAGCTGGAGAATTTCAAAAATCCCGAAATTTCATGCTCGAAAAGGTGCTTTTCCCTAGAACTCGAAAACTAGATTTATCTTGCCAAAAATTAGCGCAAAAACGTATGAATCTAGCGAAAAATTATCCCGCGCTTCGCAGAGAACCCTGAAAAAAGCCCATGAATTCCGATTGAATCAAGGACCGTTTTCTCTAAAGCTTTCGTTACCAAATGTTGTCTCGTGTTTGGCCACTTCCCCTTGACCAATCCCCGTTTAGCCAACTCGAGATCTAAAGCTATACCCCTTCCTATCGTAAGCCGGTGTTGTGATGATGCGGGTGGTAGAGGAAATCGAAATCTACCTTCTCCGAAAGTTCTAACCCCTTTTCTAGGCTAACCAACTACGACACGACCACAGAAATTGCGATGCTATTCGAAAAAGATAAATAATATGCTTTTAAAACGATCAATAAACAGGTTTAACGCTTTTTTTACCCGGTAACCATTTATATACCTCAAAATCGGAAATCCCATAACGAAACAAACAATCGAACAACATAAACTCAACAGTAAAGCCAAAATAACAAAAAACACGCGAAATTGAAACATTTAGGACTTGATTTTGACGGCGGCCTTCTTCTCGGCGACGTTGGCCATCTTTTTCGCCTTGCGCTCGTGGTATTCTTGCATGTTCTGGAAAGAAAAATTAAAAAAAAAAAAAAAAAAAAAAAAAAAAAAAAAAAAAAAAAAAAAAAAAAAAAACTAATTTTTTTTTTTTTTTTTATGTTGGAGAAAAAAAATTTTTTTATATTTAAAAATTTAAAAATTTAAATCGGAAGGGGTTTTAAAATTTTTTTTTTTTTTTAAAAAAAAAAAAAAATATAAAAAATTTAAAAAAAAAAAAAAAAAAAAAAAAAAAAAAAAAAAAAAAAAAAAATATTTTTTTTTTTTTTTTTTTTTTTAATATTTTAAAAAAAAAAAAAAAAAAAAAAAAAAAAAAATTTAAATAAAATAAAAAAAAAAATAAAAAAAAAAAAAAAAAAAAAAAAAAAACAAAAAACAAAAAAACAATAATCAGAAAACAACTGCGCACCTGATGTGTAACATTCTTGAACAGCGACAATTCCTCAGCGATCGTCGTCACCGCCTCGACCAGCTCGCTGCTGGTTCGTCGAATAGTGGTGTTGTCGCTGGGATTGTAGATGTCCAGACCATCACTAAAAATAAAGTTCAATAAAAAATAGCTCATAAAAAAAAATTGTTAAAAAGTGACTTACCGGGTCAACAACAAGATTGAATTCCGGTCCGCGATGACGTGGAAATCGACGATTGGCGATTGAGCCTCGACAGCGTCTTTCAATTCGAGATTGTTCTTGGCGGTCAAGCCGAAGACGTACAACTTGGGGCTGGCTTCGAAGGTGACGAAAAGGTTTGGGAAGCCTTCGATTTCCTGTAAAAATAAAGTTTTACAGATTTTAGAAGAAAAGTGGCAAAAAAATGGGTTATGAAACTTTTTTAACTTTTATGTGCATCTTTAAAATCAGCAAAAAGCGTCATTTTAAGCAGAGGTGTTTCTAAAAAAGCTCACCACAATGCTCAACCTCCGAATCGGCTTCTCCCCAAGCTTATTCGTCGTAAAGAGTTGCGTCCCGTCGTGCAGATCGTGAAGGTATAAACGACCATCACCGCCTAAACACAAAAATTTATACTAAAAAATTTCTAAAACTCAAATTTCAACCAAAAACGCATCATACCTCCACTAACAACGGTTCTATCATATACGTCCACCGATCGCACATATTCCGTATGGCCGAAAGCCACCGCGTACATTGCTGAGCAGTCGGGATACCTAGAAAAGGGTTTAAAATAATCATGGTCGATTTATTTAATAATAGTTTGTTTATTTAAAATAATTTTCAGAACAGAGACCGATAAAAGCTCACCGGTAAACTTTAATTTTCTCATCCCGATCGGCGGTCAAAAGATATTTGAAGTCAGCCGAAAAAGCCACGTCCAGGATCATCGTGACGCCGCCAGCCAGCGGGCTGCCCTCGAATTTGCAGTCTTCATCTAAAAAAAAGGGTAATTTTTTTCAGTAGTAAAATTGAACCTAGTTAAAAGTAAATTTGAACGTTAATTTTAACTTTATGATAAAACTCTTAAATTTATAACGAACCATTCTCGTGTCGTCCCATATGCGCTTCGGTACATCTGTACTGCGTGACGTTGCCCGACCGGTCACCGACGACCTGAAAAAACAAGGTTAAAAAGCTCGAAAATTGAAGAAAAAACAGCTAAAGAATTTAGATAAAAAATAAACCGACTAATACGGCAAAAAAACTTTTTTCCTTCGTAAAAACGCACCACATTTCCCCTATTATCAAAAACGATCGACGTCGGCGCCTTCGGGACGCGGAACCAGCGGCAAACTTCTAATTGCCCAGGTTTTGCATGGTAGATGACGCACGTCTTCGCGGAGGTGCCCACAGCGAACATGGAACTCTGTGCGACTTCTTTCGTGGAGCAGATTATCTTAAAAGAAACGCATAATTGGCAAAATCCTGTTTGTTTACACCTCAAAATCCTCGACATCTTTCCCGTCTGCGCCCTTTGTTGCTTCCTCCGGAATTTTCAGCACCTCTATTTGGGCTTCCGGCTCTTCCGGAACCAGGAAAATGTTGGCCTTTGCTGTTAGGATATAGCAGCCGAGTCCGAGGGTGGCGGACATCCTGGAAAAATGGTCATTGATCCCTGGGAATCTACAAAAATTAAAGGCATCGAAAACATGAGAACTGAAATCTAAAACGCCCAATATAATATTTTAAGGGAGCCGTTAACGCACGAATACTATAACAGAAATTTAACAGAAACAATGCCGATTTAACGGGATTTAATGAAAATAAAGCAAATAAATGAAACTCTTTTGAAAGTCGTGTTTTTGGACGCGGTAAATTACCAAAAAAATCAACTTTCTCAAAACGGTGTAACGCGGTAAACGTACTAAATCTACAAAGCGACAAGCCAGAAAGGGCAAAAAGTCGATGCTAATATTTTAATAGGATATGTTATTAAATTATTTAATCAAATGTATGGAAAAAGAGAAATAAGTGACAAAATATAACTATTTTAAAAGGCTTTTGTAAGCTGTAAGTCGATGAAAATGCGACTTTTAGAAATTCTCGATGTGGACAAAATCAAAAAAGTTCGGCTGAAAATACTCACAAAAAAAATTTGAACCGTCGGCCAATATTTATATTGTTTTTCGATATTCGTAACCTCTAAACTTGTATTGCCATTTCTTTTCGCGCTGGCCTGTTTTGTAAACCTTTATTCTACGTGAAATCTCTACAAATTATCTCAAAAGAAACAAAAAACGAGCAGATATAAAAACGCACAACGCATCCAGCACGATTATTGCTGTCGGATGGGCATATCGTAGAGCCAGAGAGAGAGAGAGAGAGAGAAAAAAGAAGGTGGTGAATATTTAGTCGGACAGATATCACATGTACACGCGGACACACACAACTAGAGTTTTTGGGGGGTGATGGTGGTGGGCAAAGTGGCAATCACACGGTGTCTGGAAGAAAAATTCTTTATAAAAAATCTGCGTTATTTTTCATAATTTATTACTATATCACAAGGCTACGGTAGGGCGGAATGTTCGAGATTTGATTGGGGGAATTTAATACACAAGCTGGGACAGTGAAACGCCGGCCATTTTCCTAGAGGCTACAAACAACAGCTAAGAGAGCGGGGGGAAGTGAGAGAGCACGGAAGGGCATGAGGGTGTTGGGTCGAAAATTTGGGGGTTGTGACGGGATGCAATCGGTCCACTTTAGTCCTCGAGGTTTCGGAACGAGTTTTGCATGGCCTCGAGCAGGTCGTCGTAGTCCTTCTTGATCTTCGCCTCACCGTCCTTTTGCGGGTCCTGCAAAGAGAATGAGTAAAATCGGCCAAAATTCGGGTTTTCGGTATCAACAATTTCTTTTCTCATCCAATTCAGGACGTTTACAATCTGAGGAAAAGTGAAAATGTGTAGCAATGTGACCTCTATTAACATTAGAAAAATTCGGATCCAGTCGGAAATACCAACGAAAAGAATTCGAATCCATAAAGCCAAAAACAAACCTTGAACTTCATGGCGGAGAGCTGGTAGATGAGGTCTCCCATGTGGTCCCTGATCGTCGCCCAGGTCACCTTGTTCTCCGACTGGGCCGTCGACTCGACCGAGTGGCGGGCCAGGTCGTAGAAGGAGATCCTAAAATATGACGTTGAAAAATTAAACCAAAGAATGCGAATACTGTGACAATATCTAGCCAAAATTTCCACTGACATGTTCTTCAGCATGCCGACGGTCTTGTAGAAGGGGCAGAAGCGATCGTACGGGGTGTAACCGTTTTGCTGCAAGAAGTCGTCCTTGATGATCTTGGCGACCTGGAAAAGGGGAATTTTTCAGAACCCGGAAACGGCAATTACCTCAAGCGTGATCTTGTCCGACTCGGCCAGCGAGGCCTTACCGACGAGCTGCACGATTTCGGAGAGATCCTCTTCTTCCTGGAATTAGGGCGTGAATAGTTGTCACATAACAATATCTGGTTTTTCTATAAAAACAAAAATCCTCTCATATATAAATGTATTTTTGACGAATTAAAGAGCTATAAAACGGCGCTAAATGCCTCAATCAGACGCTACGAGCTAGGCACGGAAGTGAGCGCAAAATAACGAGCTGCTTGAGTAAGGGCCTCGCGGGAGACGGGGCCCCCAAAAATCATTTTAGCGGAATTTATTCGTTATTTAGGGCGAAGCCAGCAAATTTTCGTTCCTTATTCGCGAAGAAAATTCAGCTTTTTTAATTCTAGTTTAGTTTAATTTAATTTTCCGGGATTTAACTGAATTTTAAAAGCACCAAATTTACCTGAAGAATCTCCTTGCACTTCGTACGCAGGGAGACGAACTCGGGGTGGTTCTTCTCGTAGAAGTCCTCTAGGGCGCGCATGTATTTACTGAAAAAAGTGGATGAGTTGGTGATGATCAATCATTTTGCTATTCCCCGAATTGTACACCCCAAATTTTTCCTTCTCTCTCTGCCCACCACAACCAAGCCGCAAAAAGCGGCAACTGTGAGCCCACACACCGGCCCGGGCAACGGTCGAGAATTAATTGACATGACTGCCCCCGAAGACAACAAACGATTGTGCGGTTCGGGCCAACGATCTCGAGATATTCAGCAGATGTCTGCTTGGCGCTCTAGTCTATTTTTCATTTTACACTTTTATTGATGTTTTACTGTATGCGGAGACGTAATTAATTAAAAACCTAGATTTTCGCAAATCCTGAACTGGAAAATCATAAGTTCGACAAATAATAACTTGAAAAAGCAATTAGTTTCAAAATCGTGAGCTCGAAATTTGCTTGCCTGATTTAAATGGGGTACTGCCCTACGTCAAAAGTTCACCAGATCAAAAGTCTAATTATTTTCTCTAGTTGCCATTCTACAGATCTACATAATAATAATAATATTCTAAAACTCCACCAACTCCGAAAAGACCGATCCATCCCCTAATAAGTCTTCCCCTCTCCAACCACATGACAATACCCAAGCAACTCCAAAGTTCCCCCTCAACTCCTCCACAAGACAAAGCACCCTTTTAGGCCGGGGCTTCACCGGATTAATCAAGGTGCTTCACGGCAGCGACACTTTGCGTGCGGGGCCCCCGGGTCCAAAGGGTGCCCTTGGGGGCGGGGCCCTCTGCTTGGCCCCAAGGCGCCGACCACGCTCAAGTCACCGGGGCAACGGCTACAAGCTGGCCGGCCGCTTTGGCCGCCGTGGCCCATATCAACACCGAGGAAGCGAAGCCCCGCAAGTCGACTGCCCGCCGCGCCAGCACCACCCCGGGCTGGACTTCATATGTAATAAGAGGGGCCCGGAGGCCGCGGCTTGCACCTACGTGCCCACCACGCCCGTTGATACTGGGATTGGTGAGTCTGGGAATATTGGCGCTTTTGGGCTTTTTAGTTTAATTTTTTGGGGTTTTAAAATACAGTGAAATTGTCAAGATTTGCTAGACAAAAAACTGTAAAGAATTCGTGTAAAGATCCGATTTTTTCAAATTTTTTTGCTAAATTTTTCGGATTTCAATTTGAACAGTGAATTATTCAAGAACTGCTAGAAAAAGTCGAAATAATGTATCGATTTAGAGAACTGCCAGAAACCAATAAATTGGCAATTTTTTCCAAAAATTGTTATGTCAAATCGACTGATCGATCAGTTCGATATGTTTTTCCGGTTTTCCGGTTCCATTTTTGACAACTAGCTAAGCGCGGAAACTGTTAATTTGTCGAAAATAGACGCTGTGAGAACAGATTCCCATTTCCAAGCCTTTCCCGGGAAATTTTTAACTACAACGAAAGCCCTGAATCACCTTGAGAAAGCTCAATTAATTTTTCTCACGCCCGTAATGCGTCATTCCCAAGGCCCAAGAAACCCAAATCAACACTCTAACTAACACCCGCGCCCCTAACATTATATTGCCAGCAAAAACACTATCGCCTAGCAACCGATTACAAGGGCCCCAATTTCCGGCCAGACGGACAATCAGCGGCCGCCCCGTCGACTTGACCAAGTTACCAAATTTCAGGCATCGAGAACCGCTTCTTCGAGCCGGAGCGGATCCGGTGGGAACGGCTTGACGACAGCGCCGAGCGCCCGTCGCCGTCGTTTTTCTTTCACAAATACCAATTGTATCCGTTTATCTCGGACTCGCCGCCGGGAATGGACGCCGTGGGGCATCAGCGCAACCACACTGGGCTGCCGGCCTCAGCAAGTAAGTGTTTTCAGAAAACAGGAAATCCCCATTTTAATTTTCGACGTATGGGCCGCATCCCGAAGCCATTTGCATAGGAAAAAGCTAATTTTCTAGAGTATTTTTCGGGGTTCATTTTTTGATGTTTTTTTCCAAACCATAGTCTCCTATTCAAAAAAGGCGCAATATTGCGCTACCCAAATTCGCCTAGTCAGCCGCTCCCAGATAAGGCTTCTCCCGGGCCCAAATTTTGCCCCCAAAAAGTGGCCTCGCCCTGCCAAAGCCCCGGGGGTGACACGATCAATCCGCCGGAAGGCCAAAAACCCACTTGAGGGTCGCGCGTGATTTATTAGGCGGGTCGCGCTGTGGGTAAAGGGCGGCCAAAAAAGTGGCAGCTCTATGCGAAAAAATCGGGGATAAAAAAGGTTATGTCCAAATCAAAAGCTCCAAGTTAACTGATTAAATTCTAATAAACTTAGGCGGTCGTCACCCACTCCAAACATCCAACCCGACATGCTGTATCCCCGCGAAAACTAGTGGAATCGTCTCCCTATCCGTGCAATTTGTGATCCTGGTCGCCTCGGCGTTGACGACAATCTTCTTCTTTTACCATGTGGGAGGGTAAGGGATTTTAATAGAGTCAAAAAATCCCGTTTTTTAGCTACGAGTACATGGGCTGGAATGAGAACCGGACGATTCTCGAGCCAATTATATCCCCTAATGATTCGCGACGGCTGATGGCCGCCACGACAATGATGACGGGTTTTGCGGTGGGTTTTTGATGGGATTAAAGGGATGGCTTTTAAAAGTTTTAATTTTAGTTTAAAGGAAGTTTTAAAGGGACGAGCAAGTCAGGGCCAGAGCTTTTTAACGGCCGTAGATTCTCAGCAAAAATCACTTTATTAAATAGTCTTAACTGAGTCTACGAAGCTTTTTAAATTTCAAATTACGCTACAAACCTAGGTTCAAACCCTTAAAATCTCTTCTTATTGCCATATTTTGCTATTGTTTATGGGTTACGGGAATGGCCAGTTTACATGCCCCGGGGGGTATTAGCCGATCTGCCAGCCCGGTCTGCTCTCCTAGCCTAGAGGCGCCCAATTAGGCAGTTTGTGCTGTTAGGCACTGCCTGCATACCCAATCGTGTTTGGGGGTGGGGGTGAGGTGTTGCCCGGGGAATCGTGAGAACTTTTGCCGGCTCGCGAAAATATCAACAAGACACCTAATTCCAAGCAAAACCCTATATCGAAAAAGCGGGGGCTGCCCGGCGAAAAATAATTTTCTCCTGAAAACAAGCTAATTCTGGGCCCGAGGAATTATGTTTTTACGAATCCGAGAAGCGGTGCTGACCTGCGAATGGGGGTGATTAATTTTCCCCCGTAATTTAATAAAGTAATTTTGTAAAGAACTACACGCAGTTTTTAGATAGAAAAAGAATATAAAACTTAGAAAAATGTTCAAAATGTTTGGTAAAAATGTTTATAATTTCTTAGCAAACTAGAAACTTCCAAACCAGATAAGCAACCAAAACTAACATCCCCCGCTAACCGTCCAGTTTCCCCCGATAGGCCCCGTTCACCTGGCGAACCGCTAAAATAGCAAAACCCCCAGGGGCTTGGGCAAGTTACCGTGCAACCCCCCAATTGGACCGCGCCGAAAATCCAATTCAGACGCTCGAGCCGACGCAAACTACTATTAACGACAGCGGAGTGGCCGCGCTACTGGATGGAGTGGTAGATGAAATTGAGACGAATTCCACCACCCCGTTGCCAAATTTTGGCCCCCCGATCGACGATATTGCCACCGCGAAACCGAGGGCAAAACGGGCCGAGAAAGTTGAAGTCGAGACAGTAGAAGCGGAAAACGCAACTCTGACTGCTCTCCACGACTATGATGACAATTCGACGCTCAGTTTTGATGATCAAGACGAGCAGATGCCGAATACGTCACTGTATATTGGATGGGTGGTGGTAAGAAATTAAAGTAGAAGCGGAAAATTGATTTCTAGGACGCCGAGATCGATTTTCTTGAGCTGATCAGAATTTCGACGCTCGTCTACCTGGCTATGTGCGCAGTTTGGTTCCTATCGCTGCTATGTTTGGTGGTAGCTATCAAAACAGAAAGTAAGCTAGTTATATTATCCCCATTAACAGAAAATTAAATTAACCTAGATATTTTACTCAAATTTAAATGCTATAGTAAAGCCAAAAAGCCTTATTCTAAACCAGATGGTCATCGCTCCGACTGACCATCTGGCCTTCGGGCTACCCTACATGTCCCACTCCACCACATCCTTTCCCACCTCCATCAATACCCCCCATGGCTGAAATCCCCTTCAAAACTACATCGATAACTTCCTGATGGCTTTAGATAACCCCCATGGCTGAAATCCCCTTCAAAAACTACCTAAACACCTTCCCGATGGCTTTAGATACCCCCCATGGCTGAAATCCCCTTCAAAAACTACCTAAATACCTTCCCGATGGCCAGATACCCCCATGGCGAAATTCCTTCAAAAACTACCTTAATACCTTCCCGATGGCTTAGATGATTTAAATAATTAATTAACATAATTAAAAAGTATTAAAAGTATTAAAGTAACTTTACCTTCCCGATGGCTTTAGATACCCCCCATGGCTGAAATCCCCTTCAAAAACTACCTAAAAACTTTCCCGATGGCTTTAGACACTTTAAATAATCTAAATAATTAATTAACATAATTAAAAAGTATTAAAAAGTATTAAAAAGTATTAAAGTAACTTAAAAAAGCTATCTGGGCGCGCGAAGGGGCCTGGGGAAGAGGGGCGAAGGGAAAGGGGGCGTGGCCTCCCGTTAGAGGGGCCCCCACTGGTTTTATTAAGGCGCCACTTTCAAAGTTAATTTTAATAATTTAAACTAAAACTTTTTCTTAATTTTTTTATGAGTTTGGGGGTTTCTGACCACGCTCTATCCGAATCCGAAGAGAGCTAAGCTCTAGCTCTTTTCCCCTTCGAGTTGAATTCGGGACCGGACAGACAGACAGACGGAGACCACAGCAAAATTATTATAGTTGATTGAAAAAATAACACCAAATTTTGAAAATATAATTTAATTAAAATATGTTTCTAGTTCCTGATCTGGTGGTCGCAAATATGACCGTAACCCTCATCGCGATTCTCTACCTAATCGTGCATGCATGCTTCGTCGGAATACTAATCTACCTACAGGTAAATTTCCCCGGAAAAAAAGAATACGAAATTCAGATTGCCCTCAACCGCCACTTGACTACAAAAACGCTCATAGTCGTCTTTGGGACTATCGCAGTTCTATTCCTAATGGCAATTGCCGGCTTTTTCTGCGTAGTGCAGGATGTCGCCTTTTATAATCACATCTGCTACATCAACGATTCATCAGGGGTGAGTTTAACCGCGTTTTATAGACTAAATTTTTCAATTTCAAAGCTTAGAAATTTTGTAAACTTTGGAATGATTTCAAAGCTTAAAAAACAGCAAAAAAATCTACATTTTGCAGTGCTTGTGCCTGTCCGCCATCGCCAACCTCATCAAGGGCACCCGACGCCGCCGCCCAGCACACGAATACGCACTACCAGAAAATACCCAATCCCCGCCCCACCACATCCCCTACGCCGACGACCCCCAAGCCCAGGAATTCAGCCATTTCTAACCCAAAATTTCTAATTTTTTCGTTATTCCCTTTATACACCCTTGTTTCATACATATCCGGTGATCAATCCTGTCAAAAAAACCCAAAACGTTTCTGTCAAAAATCTTATCTCACTGCTCCCCCTCCCCCTTGGATCTCTCTCACGGGCCCGTCCCCCCACTTTCCCTTCTTGGCGAACAAAGATAAAAGATGGCAAGATAACCCCTAGTCTACACACACAGCCAAGCCAAGACGGTAGTGTATACCTGTAGGAGATGAGCCAGTTGATGGAGGGGAAGTGCTTACGCTGGGCGAGCTTCTTGTCCAAACCCCAAAACACCTGAAAATAGGCAAAATTTTCGCAAAAAATAAAATGCCAACCTGTACAATACCAAGGGTGGCGGCCGTGACGGGATCGGCGAAGTCACCACCGGGCGGGGATACGCTAAAAAAATGAGATTTAGAAAATAATCGGAAATTTGATGCAAAGGTATAGCTAGTTCTTTAGTATTTCCAGAGTGGAGCAGAAAACCCGAATTTTTCCACAGCCAGTCCAGACAGTTACTACTAGTTCAAGTATACGAAATCGTATTCGAAGTTTTCGCAAAATTGAGCTTTATTTTAAGCGGAAAACCACTACAAAACGGGTAAGAATTTCGAAATCGACGCTATTTGATGGTGATCTCTCTATTTTTTTAGTAAATTGTTCTCCTCTGGATGTACTAAACAACTGCACCTCTTTCCAAAAACTCACGCTCCGACAATGGTGACGGATCCATCACGTTCGGGGCTTCCCAAGCAGCGGACCTTGCCGGCACGCTCGTAGAAGGAGGCGAGACGGGCGGCCAGGTAGGCGGGGTATCCGGAATCGGCAGGCATTTCTCCGAGACGACCGGAGATCTCACGAAGCGCCTCGGCCCATCGAGACGTCGAGTCGGCCATCATGGCCACGTTCAGACCCATGTCACTAAAAAATTCATGATATAGAAAATTCGTAAAATCAATTAATTTGATAGCTGAAAATAAAATAGGCGAAAAACCAACCGGAAGTACTCGGCGAGGGTAATACCAGTGTAGATGGAGGCTTCACGAGCGGCCACAGGCATGTTCGATGTGTTCGCGACAAGGGCGGTACGCTTCATGATAGATGTGGTGACACCTTCGACCTCCATGGTCAGTTCGGGGAAATCACGAAGTACCTAGAAACAGAAAGATTAGATAAAGCTTTTGAAAGTGACAAAAATGAAACGAAAAACCGCTCACTTCAGACATTTCGTTTCCACGCTCGCCGCACCCGACGTAGATGATGGCGTCGGAGTTGGAGTACTTGGACAGCGACTGCGAGATCACAGTCTTGCCGCAACCGAAGGCGCCGGGGATGGCGGTGGTTCCTCCTGAAAACGATAGTTTGGATCGATATTTTGGCGAAATTTTGTAGCTCAACCACAAGCGAAAATGCGGAAATACCGTACCCTGGACACAGGGGAACAGGGCGTCGAGCACACGCTGTCCGCAGAGCAGCGGGTTGTTGGCGGCCAACTTCTCGGTGACCGGGCGAGGGCTACGCACGGGCCAGATCTAGAAAAATACGTAAATTTCGTAGAATAAAATTTGTATACCTGGAGCATAGTGAATCGCTGCTTCTCGCCGGAGAACTCGATCTCGAGCAGCACGTCGGTAACGGTGTACTGGCCAGACGGGGCGGCAAACGTGACGGTTCCACATGCGGTGGGGGGCAGCATGATCTTGTGCTTGATGAGCAGATTTTCGTTGACGGTTCCGATGATGTCTCCTGAAAATCGGGGGATTTAGCTCTAAAAACGTAGCCTAAAGTTTCAGGCAAAAAATCGAAAATCTTCACGAACCTCCAGAGACGTGGGCGCCGACGTGCATCTTCTTGCTGGCGTCAAAGTCCCAACGAGCATCGCGCGACAGGGCGTTGGTGTTGACTCCCTAAACCGGAAATTTTAGCTAGATCGGAATTCCACGGTCTCCACATTTGCAGTCTAATTTTTTTGTTGACTGAACAGGGCCAATTTTTCAAAAAACTCATTTTGCAAAAAATCCTTTTTAGTTTCAAACGCGAGGAATTACTTTCAAAAACAATTTAACCGTATAAAAAAACAGTTTTCTTAGCCAAATATACCTTGGGGATGTAGATGGACTGGGTGAGGTCGGCAATGTCCTTCAGGGGACGCTGGATACCGTCAAAGATGGAGCCCATAATGCCGGGGCCCAGCTCGACGGAGAGCGGCTTGCCGGTACGGAGCACGGGATCTCCGATTGTGACAGCGGCTAAAAAGGAGAAATTTTTGAACGTTTTAGACTGGCAAAAAGCGCAGAATTAGTTTTTTCGAGTTTTTTCAAAACAAAACACAATCTAGCCGGCTTTAAACTTTAAAACTCACAAGTCTCCTCGTATACTTGGATGGTGGCATAGTCACCCTCGAGACGGATGATCTCTCCGACCAGCTCGCCGTGCCCGACACGCACCAGCTCGTACATAGCCGATCCGGCCATCTTCTCGGCAGTTACGACTAGAAATCAATATTATTTTCAGAGATTCACAAAACTCACCAGGGCCGGAGACACCGAACACGAATCCGTAGGTGCTCTCCTTTTCTTCATGATCACGGGCCGTGGGCGCCATTTCCAAGTGCAAGATGAGGCCGGGGAAACGCGCCTGGAAATATGAGTTTATATTCTGCCGTCTCGTCACGAAAAGACGAGAAATAACGAGAACACTCAGCAACAATCAGAAGATCAACAAGTTGGTGTGGTTAAAATGCAATTTGAGGTGGGTAAAGCTGGATGAAAATATGCGAGGCGTCAAAATCAACAATAACAGACATTTTCATTTGAAGAACGATAAGAAGGAAGCCAACAACTCGACTTTTTTCTCGAGGGGCTCAACAAGAAAGGAAAATAGCGAACGAGCTAAAATTGCTAAACAATTGCGATAGATCTATTGTCCCTGATGATGATAGGGCGGGTATCCGGTGGGGTGTTGCTGGTACATTGGCCAATATCCATCGGCATTTCCAGCGGGCGCGTATTGGTTGTATTGCTGCCCACCATACCGGGGTCCATTTTGATTACCCCGTCCGCGTCCGCCGCCTCGTCCGCGTCCACCACGCCGATTCTGATTTACATATTGCCCGGACGGTGGCCAGCAGCTGCCCTGTCTTTGCGGTTGCTGATGCCGATTCGGCTCATCCCTTGTCCGCTTCCGCTGGTGGCGCTGGTCCTTGTTGTAGTACGCCTTTTCCTGCTCGTCGTCCGAAAAGTCGGGTTCAGCGTCAGCGTCAGCATTCGGGTCAGCCACTTTCAGCTGCATAAGCTGTTCCAGCAGCAGCACCTTGGCGACGGAACCTTCCGGCGCGTAGTAGATCGGTTTTCCGGCCGGCACAGCCGCGGCTTCAGCCTCTGTGTTGAAGCGGACTACATAGATCGGGGTCCGGGTATTTCCGACGACATCGTAGACCTGGCCAAAGACGTTGCGCTGTTCATCGAAAAGGTAGCAGTCAAAGTCGAGCACCACGAACGCCTCGCATTGAATGGACACCAGACAGTGCATGTTCTGCAGCACTTTGCCCAACAGTTTCAACTCGCAGTCGGGCTCCAGCCGGATTTGCGGGATATCGATCGGGTCGAGCTTGGCGTATTCGTACTCGTTCTGGACGCGTTGGCTCTTCTTCTTTTTCTCGGTTTTTCCGTATTCTTGCATATGGAGGCGCTGCATCTGGAGTAGGGGCACGGAGGTGAGCTTTTCGAATTCTTCGTCCGAGTTGGCGGCCGTGAGCGAGAAATCAGAGTCGTAGTCCGAGTCGAGATCTCTGAAAAAAAAGGAAATCTAGAGAAGCTGACAAGATTAATATACCTGAACTTGACATCCTGAACCTCCATGTCGACGTCAGCTTGTGGGTACGTTGACGTGGAGGGGGCCGCGCGGTCTTGAGCTGCATGGTGGTCGACGATCTGCTCGGCGCTGACCGTCCAGATCAGCTTCTCGAGCACGGCGCGAACATCTTCCAGCACCGCTTCATCGTCGTTCGAGGGCATCTGGAAATGGGGTGTGAAGCTAGGTCAAAATATCGGAAGCGAGTTGGACCAGAGATCAAATAATCGATCGATAACGGGATAAGTTGTGAAAATGGCAATTCCAGGAAATGGCGGAACTGTTCTAACCCTAACTTGTTACGTTGTAGACCGAAAACCAAAGATCAAAAGGTCCAAAATTCGAGATTTCTCTTGGCTGTGATTACAAATTGAGACATTTTAGGCAAAAAGGTAAGGCTCGCAACGACGAGGATTTTAATACCGCCATAGAATCCCGGGAGTAGCCCATCTATGTGAAATTAAGCCAGCAAAACGTCAAAATCAGATTCCTGAACTTCAGAAGTCAATGTCGAAAAGAGGGCCAAAGTGGAAACAAGCGTAAAAACCGCTGAAGTTATAAGAAATAGACGATTTTGACGATATACAATCGAAAATTATGCTCCACCCCAAAACGGCTGTCAGGAAATGGTCGTCGAGAGGAAAGAGCACCCCTAGTCTCTGTCCCTGGCATTCAACCGAAGACCAATGACCGTGGGGAGTGGGGTTTCGCGGCGGGACCCCTTTCTCTGGCCCTCTACGCAAAGCGGGCACTCTCTCGCCAACTTCTAACCCGGAATCCCTGTGATAAGTGGTTGTCGGGACCAGAAAATGGCGAAACAGTTGAAAATAGCTACTTGTCCTCGAATACTACGCAAATTTCTGGATTAGTTTTACAAAATGATGTTTTATTCGCACAACAAAAGACAACGAAATGAGTGAGCAGCAGGGATCGGGGGTAGAGCGGGGTTAGTTAGATTACAACGTGTTTGGGGGGTTTGATCAAGATGAAGGGTGTACTATCGGGTCCTAGAACTTAAAAAATCACAGATGTAAAGGTTTCGGGGCGGGGAGAGGGGGTTTACGCGAAAATGTCTTCAATCTCCTCATCGGGATCCTCGGTCTCCAACGTGTCGTTGATG